GCGGAGATCGCAATAAGGAAAGAAGCAATTCCAAAAGGAGAGATTATTCTGTTTGCTGGTATCATAGACGTTTTGGGAAAAAGTGTAGAGATGACAAATGTACAAAACCTTGTTCATGGCAGGGAAACGAAACCAGCAAAGAATAGAGGCGACTTATTCTTTGCCTCAAGTTTCACGTCGCCTGTTCGTTCGTGACCGTAGAACAAACCTTTCATTCTTGGTCGATACCGGCTCTGACGTGTCCCTTACTTCCAGCAAATAATTCTCAAAAACGGAATTCGTCCCAACAAACACTTTTCGCTGCTAATTCTTCTACTATTCATGTTTATGGTCAAAAAACACTTTCTTTGGATTTCAAATTAAGACGACAGTTTACATGGACTTTTCTTATAGCAAATGTTAGTACACCCCATTCTTGGAGCAGATTTTCTCCATTTCTTTGAATTGGTGCCTGATCTCAGAAACAAATGTCTCAAAGATTTAAAAACGCATTTTAAAACCGTCGGTTGCGTGAAAAATGCAAGCATTTATTCAGTAAAAACTGTATTTAGTGATACACCATATCACAAAATTTTAAAAGAATTTCCTTCAGTTACTAGATTACCAGATCCTAACCAACCTGTTAAACACAACACCGTTCATTATATCATAACTAAAGGTCCACCTGTGGTTGCAAAACCTCGTCGGTTAGCTCCAGATCGCTTAAAAATAGCAAAACAAGAATTTCAAACTATGATGCAATTGGGGCATTTGAGACCTTCGAGCAGCAATTATGCATCCCCACTTCACATGGTTCCAAAAAAGGGAAGTCTGGAATGGAGACCTGTAGGAGATTATCGAGCATTGAACGCTCAAACAATAAAAGACAAATACCCTATTCCATGTTTAGCCGATTTTACTGCTGCATTGCACGGTACTAAAATTTTTAGTCATGTCGACCTGATTAAGGCATACCATCAAATACCAATTAACCCAGCCGACATCCACAAAACCGCCATATGCACACCATTCGGTTTATTCGAAAGTATCCGTATGCAATTCGGCTTATGCAATGCATCTGCGACTTTTCAACGTTTTTATAGATGAAGTCACGCGGGATTTAGAAGGCGTTTTACGCTTTTGTCGATGACTTGCTCATAGCCTCTAAAGATTCTGAGGAACATTGCAGGCATTTGAAAGCTTTATTTTCCAAACTTCAGGAATATGGACTTTGCATAAATGTTTCAAAATGCACCTTTGGTCAAACATCTATTGATTTCTTAGGTTTTCACCTTAGTGAAAACGGAATTGAACGGAACGAAAACGGAACATCTATTGAACCTCTTCCTGACAAAGTCAAATGTATTTTAGATTTTCCTCAACCTACCACTCTCACTCAGCTTCGCCGATTTTTAGCCATGTTTAACTTTTATAGATGTTTCATACCTAAAGCAGCACATATTCTTTCTCCTTTAATAAAATTGTTAGAAGGCTATATTAATAAAAAGAAATCTCGTTCTCGTGTTCAGGATTCATCCCCACAATTAAATTGGAACGAGAATGCTGAACAAGCCTTTATTGCTGCCAAAAATGCCATTGCTCAGGCTACCCTTTTGAGACACCCTATTCCCGGAGCCCAGCTAAGCATCTGGGTAGATGCCTCAGACGTCGCAATCGGCGGCACACTTATGCAGTTGTCTCAACAAACATGGGAACCTATAGCATTTTTCTCTATGAAACTCAGTAAAAGTCAACAGAAATGGTCCGCGTACGATAGGGAATTATTTTCTATTTATTCTGCAATTAAGAAATTCCGACACATGTTAGAGGGCAGAAATTTTATAATTTATACGGATCAAAAACCGTTAATATACGCTTTTAAACAGAACCCTCATAAATGTTCACCTCGACAATTGCGCCATTTAGATTTTATTTCTCAGTACTCTACTGATATTAGGCATGTGCAAGGTTCAAAAAACGTCGTTGCTGACGCTCTTTCAAGAATCGAAATTGATTCCATAACAAAATCTCCATTTTTGGATTTTAAAAAATTTTCGGAAGCTCAACGGCATGATCCGGAGGTACAAGACCTTCTCAAAAACAACACATCATCTTTGAAACTGGAATTTAAACCGTGCCAATATTCTGATGGTAATATTCTTTGTGACATATCAACAGACATTCCTCGTCCATTTGTTCCGAATTCCTTTCGCAGACTCATCTTTAATCATCTGCATAATCTGTCACATCCAGGAATTGCAGCTACTACGAAGCTTATTTGTTCTCGTTATGTATGGCCCGATATGAAACGTCATATCAAAAAAAAAATTGGGTGAAATCCTGTGAATCTTGCCAAAAATCGAAAATTACTAGGCATACTAAAGCACCACTGGGCACATTCTCTCTTCCTGATGCACGTTTTTCAGAAATCCATATGGATATCGTCGGACCGTTACCTCCATCAGAAGGCAATGTGTACCTTTTGACTCTAATAGATAGATTCTCCAGATGGCCTGAAGCCATTCCCATCCCGGATATGAAAACGGAAACCATTTGCAGAGCCATCTTCAACTGTTGGATATCTCGTTTTGGCTGCCCATCGATCATAACAACAGACCAAGGTTCTCAAATGAGATCCGCACTTTTTGCAGAATTCACGCGCATTTTGGGTACGAACAGAATCACAACAACAGCCTATCATCCAATGTCAAACGGCATTGTTGAACGATTTCATCGACATTTAAAATCTTCTCTCAAGGCTCACGAGACCAATAACTGGACTGAAACACTACCAGTTGTTATGCTTGGTATTCGGACAGCCGTAAAGGAAGATCTACAGTCATCTTGTGCTGAACTGGTGTACGGCACAACTCTCAAGCTGCCTAGTGATATGATAACGTCATCTAAGATATCTCCGTATGACACACAATTTATCACGAATCTTCGGCATAGAATGCAACAATTGAATCCAATAGCAACATCTGCACATTGCCAAGAAAAATGTTACGTAAGTGCTACCTTAAAGTCGTGTACGCATGTATACTTACGTGTCGATCGAGTAAAGCCACCTCTGTGCCAACCATATACAGGTCCGCATAAAGTCCTTTCTAGAACGGACAAAACTTTCACAATTGATGTTAACGGTCTGAAATCTACTGTGTCTATAGACCGTGTGAAACCAGCCTATTTGCTTTCGGACTCTAATTTGCCTGAACTGAAAACAAATAAAGACTTAAAGACAGTTCAGCAGAATAAATCTGCAAACGAACTCTCTAAGACACAAACTGTCACCAGATCGGGAAGACATGTTCACTTCCCTAAGAAACTTGCTTCTTACATAACAATTTAAAACATTTTTTTTTAAATTCATATCTTAACATATTTCTTGTTATTTCATGTTTATTATATGTGTCAATACCTTGTTATATATTGAATTGCATTTTGATCTTTTCTAATTTTATATTCTAATTTTGTAATCATAAAAAAATACCCGACAGCACGGATACTCTGAGATAATTTCATAACCTATGTCGTTCCTTTGAATAGCCATTAAAGGAACTGGGGGGAAACTCTGTGGTGATGGCGATAAGGAGCGCGCCTTGCGCCCTCCGATAAGTGTGGCAACCCTAGAGGAGAAGTTTCTTACGAGTAGCGAGCAGAGCGAAACAGGCAGGCTGTCGGGGCAGTGTGCGCGAAGTTCCTAAATAAAGCTTAATTTTTATTGTGCACTATGTCTTGTTAATATTTATATTAATGCAGTAAGAACATAATCTGTGATATGGAATTCGAGGATTGGTGGTAAAACATAACCGGAAATCACCATAATTACGTAAGGTTACTGAGATGGTGAGAATCCAGCGCGAATCAGGAGTAGAACCACAGTGGGCGTGGTGAGATCACAATACACAGTCCTTACATATTAATTAATTCAGAGTCTCTAGCTGCTTCCAGGCAAATAGCCAATTTTGGCAGTAACACAGTACTGGTTAAAAGGTTAGATAGAGCACAAAACACAACTTCATATGTACACTATTTACATATTTACATCACCACCGCGCATTATGGTGAATTGACCGAGGTCTCTTCACCACGCTGTCCACCGTAGGGTCATAATTACCGAGTTCTCTTAGCGTGTGCACTGGAGAATTAGCCATTTTTTTCGAAGAAGTTGTGCGCCTCCATGAGGATTTGTTCAGGAACGGGCCTTTTTTTTAAGGCCGGCTGAAAGGATGCAATTTCGTACAAACCAGGGCGCGTTAGTGATGGCTCTCAAAATTTTGTTTTGAAGGACTTCTAGTTTTCTCCTATCCGTCTTATTGGCAATTGCCCACGCTGGGGCGGCGTAGAGCATAACTGGCCTAATCATAGTGAGATAGATCATGCGGTTAGCTTTTAAGCTCAATTTCGATTTTCTACCTATAACAGTATAAAGTGAGATGAGATGTTCTCTGTTTGGCTTTTTATAGCTTTAAATTGGTCGCGAGAGATTTTAGTAACTTCTGCTTCTTGAGATTTCTAGAAAGCAAAAGAGTAGAATTACGGTTACAGCATAGTAGTCAATTACATTTATGAAAATTAAGTATAAATTACCGAGATAAACTTTTATTCAAAGTTAAATGCACGTGCTTCTGTAATTTTACTTTTCGGGCATAGCTTTCTCTTAAAACTCACCTCGCGCTGCATTGCACGCAGAAGTAAAATAATTCTAATTATAATTCTATTAACTTTAGCTATCTAAATAAAAAATTCGTAACAATATTAATAATTTTTAACACAGCTACTTAAATGAAAATGAAGGTTAAAAATATTCTAAACACCAAGAAGCTAGTTTTGATAATAATTGTTTTGTATTTTAAGAATAACCAAAAAAAGTAATTGGGGAAAAAAAAAAAAAAAAAGACAGGAAGGAAATGAAAAAAGAAAAAATGTGTATTCCTGACTTAACTCTCTTTGCTTCTCAATGTCAAAAGTAAAAAATAAAAAAGTCCAGCTCTCGTTAGTATTTAAAGGCGAGGTTTCATCCAATATGAAGCAGAAACGTGCTCGATACCGGCTGAGTTTACATAAGTTGTAGAACAAGCTGTTTATTGTTTTCTAAGTATTCCTAATTTTCATATAGAAAAAATGTTATTAGAAACGAGACGCACAATTCTTCTGTTAAGTGCTTTATTTGGCTTTGGCTACGCAATAATACCAGGACTGGAGACTATTGCTAAAGTGGCAGATAATTTAAATCCTCTAAATCGTAAGTGAAACAAAGTATATCATTATCGTATTTTGTTACCTCTGTTTTAAATAGGTTAGCGTAGTATCAACCAAAAAATACTGTAATAAAATATTCACAATATTTGAAATTGATATTACTTAAATTTATGATTTTTAGTTAAAATTTAGAAATATCCTTTAAACGCGGAATTTTATTTTGAAGTAATTGGATTTTAATATTCATTTGATATTCAAAATTGTATTATGACTTGTGATCAAAACGAAAGTGTAGAGATCAAAACAAAAAAACTTAACTTGGACGTCTAACAATTAAATCAAAATTTCCGATTTCTTCATAAACGTACTGACTTTATTTAAAATTTTACGTTGATTTTCGCATTTTAATGAAATTTAACGGTCATGTAATTGCATAGTTGTCAACTTCAGATTTAAGTTATCAAAATCATTGCGGAATGAATTTTTAAGATTTAAAATCAGTTATTGAAAATATAAAGTTCTGGATATTCGGTTTATTATGTAACTGTTCATCAAAAATTTTCAATGAAATGATTTTACTGATGGAAAATCTCTATTGTTTTCATACGAGCCCAAATTTAATAAAATAATATTCAGCCCCTTTGCAAAAGCTTTACAGTATCATATATTGCATAACTGCATATTGTTGCTAATAACGGACTTATGGTATGTCTTGCTGCAATTAAAGTTTCCGGCACTTAGTAACTGTTCGGAAATGATCTTTATTCATTATAAGTCTGTAATTTTATTTCGTTGATTAAAATGTCCATCAAGGTTTAATCACATCCCTTATTTCGAAGAACTTTCATAATGGATCTTTATTAATATGGATGGATATAATCTATAGTTTTAAAAGATGCTTATAAGAATTACATTCGAAACATTTTATTTAAATTTCAATTCAAATTTTAACTAATTTAAAAATTTTTCTGGAGTTTTTCATTTTTTATATTTGACACACATATTTCTTGGGTTTTAAACATTTGTGCGTGTTTATATGAAATTTGGAAAAAAAAAATTCAGTTTTCTCACAAGCTAGTATACTATACTAATAACTTTTGAAAACTCAACTCAGACTTTGTAGTTGAATAAATTAATATTAGACGAGTGATAATTTGTTAATTTTTAGACCTGATGTAATAGATTTTCTCTAAAAAAGCATTAACGTCAAAAACGATAAAAGATGCTGCAAAATATTATTGATAATAAACGGATGAATTATTATAATAAAACATATTTTTTTTAAAACAAATATTTGCAACGATTGATTAGTAACCTATGCTAAAAGATTCGCGCAGTAGGGATGTCTTCCACAGTCGCTTTCTAAGAAAACAGTTTTATATTTATGTTAACATGAGGGAAACCTTAAGACTCCTTACAAACTGCGATGTTCAAATATTAATGAAGGATTCATTGTTATAAATTATTTTTAGAGTAATTTCATAACTTTACATTCTGCGATAACCGTAGCTTTTCCAGCATTAGCATCACATACTGGAGATACTGAAGTAATAAAAATCAGCCCTGATTCTTGTTGTTTCAATATCTTCAAAATTTTTTCTTCGGTTTGTTAGTTTAATTAATATTAGAATCAGAGTTCTTAATGAATTCCATCTTTAAGCCATCCGCTTATTTAATTGCTTAAAAGTATTCGAAATTTGAGGCAAGATTCTGCAGATTACTGCAGTATTTGAATATAAGAAAAAAGTTTGATAAGATGTTCTGTAAAAAAGCCAAACGCCGTCTTCCACGCTGTCAAATGGAAGTGCCCTTTTTTATGCATCATTGTTTCTAAGTTACAACTCGATGGGCCACATGTTTCAAATTCTTCTCCAGTTCTTAACAGCACATTTTAGACAAGGCGAGGGAAAGTGGATCTCTGCCGAATCGTTTATTACTCTTACGTTAAAAAAAATAAGTTCCTTTATTTTTCTCCGAATTATTCAGAATTGTTATTATTTCTTACATTATCTCCTCTAATATACAAGAATAGAGAAAATTTTCGAAAAAGTTGAATCATTCTTGTCTTTTTGAGCATACACTAAATGTTCCACTATTTGTTTTATCAAGATTACTTGAATATGGTTTAAAAATATTCTTATCGTAAGAGAATACGTTCTGAAATTTTGGCATTTAATTAATGCTTGCTGTCTGGTACGAAATTACGCACTGTTTTCTTAACGCAGTGCTTGTTTGGATTTAATTTGCAGTTTTTTATTTATTTATTTATTTATTTATTTTTTTGGCAATATACACAAAATGTTGCACTTGTCTTAATGCTATGACCTATAATCACTATAATCAAAACCTAGATTGTCCTTGTTTTTTTTTTTCTGTGCTCTTAATGCATCGTTGTTTTAATGGTGAAGTAGCTGAAACTTTATTTCTTCTTAATTTTTATGTGTAGGTGTGAATAAAAAATAAACTTTTAATTACACTTTGAAATAATCATTATTTTCTGGTTACAGGTCAGTCAGACTTGAACGAGCAAGAACGGGTTTGAGTTGCTGTTTCCAGTATTTAAAATAAATTATTAAAGTAAAAACATTTTAACAGAAGATACAGTAACTTATAAACTAATTCAGAGAAGGTTGCATACTGAGAACTATACGCGAAATGTGCTAAAGATTGATAAAGGGGTATTGATAAAAGAAAAATTATATGTTATCACAAATGTAATTATACTTTAAGACAGTTTTATGAAGAAATTAATTTAAAGTATAATTTAAAGGAGAATTTTTTTAGAAAAACACTGAAAATTTCAAAAATGAATACTGACTAATATATAATTTAGTTCAATTATATAATAGTTTGACCATATACTTATTTGAATTTCGGCAGTAATTTTTTTTAATTATTTCCATATGAATTTGCATTACCCGAAATTCCCTGTAAAATGTCAGTTGCCTTAAATAATTAAATCAGGTGATATTAAAATTATACTTTTTTTTTGTTTTTATTGCAACACTTGAATGTTTGCTGATTAGGTACTCGATGGAATTGGCCAAACAATTGGTCATTTGTCTGAACACAACGAATGTAACTTTGATTCCATTCTTAGAGATATATGGTGATGTCCCGAGTTTCGTTTCAGCTGCTGCTAAAAGTCGTCCTTACATACTTTAATACCCTTTACCTGTTATCAAATTATTCTTATTAAGAGTACCGATTTCATGTTTTGTATGTCGTTCCCTTCTATCTAGATAAAAGTTGTATAAGAGACAATTTAATGTTGTCAAACTAAGAATACATTTGGGTCTCTGTGAAATAAATTTATTAAGTTGGAAAACTTCTTATTGGTTTTACTATATATTTGATGTTTAAACTTGCAGCAATCTCTGCTATAAAGCTGTTCGATATGCTCTTGAGTATTATATTAAAAGGTACTGTATAAAATCAGATGCAAATGTCCCTAACACAGAATAACGCTCCTAGAAACAAAAAAGAGATTCTTCAAAAACCGAAATCTTTCCTCATAACGAAACGTCTCAAAATAACATCCCAGCATCCAAAACAGATAACATACTTACAAAAGAATGTCACTGTGAGTAAGTTGTAAATATATGCACAAGAAAAAATTAATTTTAAAGAAATCAAAAAAGCAAACTAACAACTAAAACTTTGAAGGTTTTTTAATATTTGCATAAATACTGAATAATTATGTTCAACGTATAAAAATAAAAATGTGTGATAAAATGTACATATGAAATTTGAACGATATAAAACTTGCTTTATATGTACATACACAATGATATTAATTTGACGAAATTCATTTACCGAAACGATCAAAAAGGATTTTTAAGTATAATATATAAATACTTACATAAATTATTTAATTTTCTTTCAGTTTTGTTTCAAAACAAGTGCATTGAAAATCTGGATTGCTTCTGCACTGGCCCCCCTTTCTACGATCCCATAAATAGACCAATCAGCCTTGCTCCAACAGACGATTTGCAAACCATATTCCATCTTTTCACTCCAGCGAATCCTGAGAACTATACTCTTCTTCAACCAACTGTGGAATCCATAGAAAATTCATCTTTTGATCCGAATCTGGAAACGAAGGTTTTGATTCATGGTTATCGCTCAGATTTGGAGGATGAACAGGACGTGAGATTCGTAAGAATTATTATTAAGAATTTTGTTAGCTGGTATTTTTATAAATGTGCTTTTAATGCAATTAAATTGCTAATCCTTTCCGTCACGTGGCAAACTATTTTCCATCCAATGTTGCATACAGGGCAGGGCAGGAAAAGCTCATGATATTTAAAATAAAATAATACACTAAGTATAAAAAAGCTATTTTTGTTCCTGCTGTAGATTTACTGTTTAATATATGTCACTAATAAAAAATCAAAATTAAACTAATTCTGAAAATGGCATTCTTCAAATGCCTTCCAATGTCGGCCAAGTTCTGTTTGCCATAATTTTCTATGACTCTACCAAAGCCACATTTCAATATCTTCGGATTTTAGAAATTCTGTCACCATTAACGCTAAAGTAATATAGTTTTCTTAAGGAGGAACACTTTAGAAGACAGTTACCGACATAAAAATGGTATTAAATTAACACCATACATGTCTTCATTTTTGCAAATCTTCGTTTTCATTCTCAGTGACATATACTAAGGTAAAATGAGAAACAAAATTAGAAAATGAAAATCTCACGAACTTTTTCGTTGATTTAAGATTAAAAAGAAATTTGCACATTCAGTTCTTTTTCTCCTTACCACCATCTTTTTAAATTTCTGCTAATGAGAATGACATTTTGTTCGTGGTGAAAAGAGAACATTGAGATTACTTTTAATTGAAATAATCCCAGCAAAACTTTAATTTTAACATTAATTTAATTATGAGTGTATTTAATTTATTTGCTATTTTAAAGAGAAATATTTCACACAAGTACTTAGTTTTCAAATGAGTCATGAAAATATGATTCTCTATATTTTAAAAGCAATCAAAATGCTGTCTTCGTTCGTTGATCTCAAACTTAAAGGATCTGCACATTTCTAGAGAATATCTGAATAAATGTTTGTAGGAAGAAAGATTGTGTTAGATTGCCCTGCATTTGCCATTTTGCTTGAAGCAAATACTAATTAACATGGTGATTATTAAATTTAAAGTAATGATGTATGTTTTACATCTAAAAAGACTCCATATGTTTTTGTATAATTGCATTAAAAATAATTCTAATAAATCATTTTTAAACATTTTATGGTACACATTTTCTAGCAAATGAAAGATGAAATTTTGAAAGAAGGCCCTTATAACGTCATTGTTGTGAACTGGACGTACAATAATGGCCCTCCTTATCTTCAGGCGGTAGCAAACGCAAGAGCTGTCGCTTTGCAAGTAGCGAATTTGCTGAACGGGATCATAGTAAGTATAATAAATTTTGTTTTTCAAATTTTTCATAGCAATGAATTAAATCAGCTCGCACCAGTTTTTCACGCACTGACGATTTTTCAAATAATTTCACTTTTGCCTTTAAAATAAGTTAAACCAGATCTTTCTTTCAAATTTATTAAATAAATTCAGAATGACCTTATAAATGGAAATCCGTTTCTAGAAATAACCGATCCAACACTCTTATGACAAGAAAATGTTTTACGACTAAATCACACTTTTACCATGAATCATGAATCTATAATAATAAAATAGTTTGTCTATGCGTATGTGCGTATCTCAAAGCATACAGATGAAGAGATCCAGGGTTATTAAATTTGGTCAACACGTTGTTTGGACGGTGAATTTATAAGGTATTTCTCCCACCTTCTTAGCGTGCCTTCGTGGTGTAGTGGTCTGCATGCTGGACGCGTATTCCAGAGGTCCGCGGTTCGATTCCCGGCAAAGGCGTAGCTCATTTTCCATCTTGCCTGCTTCCAAAAATACCTAATGTCTCTACAAATTAAATGTAGAAAGACTGTCGAATAATCTATCGTCCTGCCTGATTTCACAGTTAGATTTAGGGCAACAAAAGTATAGGTCAAATAAAAGTATATATTAACATGTTCGACCTGATGCTTACACGAAGTGAAAATTAAAAGGAACAGAGTTCCCCTAATTTGCCGGTAGACTAACAGCTTTCCAGCGTAAGTTCATATTAAATCAAATGTAATATATAATATTAACAATGCCTAGCTTAAGCCTTGGTTTTCCTTTACTAATCACTCACAAAGAATCAGAGCAATCAAATATTTCCCGAAAAGCTAATAGTAGCAAAGGAATTTTATTTAAACGAAACTGGCAACGTAAGCTGCGAAATGCTCTCTGATAAACTTTGAAACTTGAGATTTATTTATGCTTTAAGCTAATTTACATTCTGATGGAGGTCGACGAAAGTAGAAATACCCGAAAACCAAAAGGATAAGAGAACCCAATAATTAAAATAAAACTTTGAAAATTTAATCTTTTTTGTTAGAAGATGAAATGATTTTTTGCGGTTATTTTGCATATCGTTTTAAGAACGAATAAAAAGCGCAGAAATTCATTGTTAGCACCATGGGATAGAGTGGAACAAAATCGTTTGAATGATATTTATTCCTACTACAGTTTGCCGTTTTGGGAATTTTTTAAGCATTTATCGGTTGTTTATGATGATTGGATTTCCGTTATTTTAAAATTCTAACATAAAAATGAAAAGTATATGTTGTAAATTTTTGGCATTTTTATGGATTATGAAGCAAATCTTTAAAAAGGAATCTCTTAAAAGCAAGAATTGTAAAACATTTTCCCAAATACGCGGCATTGTGAACTAAAAATGAGAGAAATGTTTTCTTCTCATATATGTGTATGATGCTAATCGCAAACAGTCAGTTTCCAAGCTGCATTTAATTTCTTTTCATCTAATTTTTTTTTTATTTTGTTATTATAAGTAACATCTTTCTTTTCTTTTTATATGGTAGATTTTTTCTTTTAACGTTTAACTTCGTTTTATTAAAACCGTTCTCTCTTTATGAATTTTTTATTTCCGATTGTATATTTCGGAATTTTTGTCTATGGAATTTCACTTGCTATTCTTTTACAATAAGTGTGTATATTTTATCATGTTGCGATGTATCTTGCCTTAAATTATTTAGTAACTAGTAATTAGTATTAGGTAATTTAGTGCGATATATCTTCCTGAACTGCCGTTCTGAAATGTACGTTCAACTGCATTTACTTAATTCAAACAAACTGCAAGTTTGACGTTTTTATTAAATATAATTTGTTTATACAGTTTGCTTACACGAAGTGATGATGAACAAGAACTGGTGAACGTCTGTAAAGAACTAATATAAATTATCACTGACGTATGTAAATCTCAGACAATCTGATTATAACTTGAATTCAAAATAGAAATTTCAAATTTGATGAAATTTTAGCATTATTTTACTTAGCAAGCCATCAGAAAAAAGTAGTACTTTAAGTGTGCTATATATTGTCAAAATTTTTGTCTTTAGAGATAAAGTTTTGCACCTAGGCATAAGTTCTTGGCGATAAATTCTTGGCTGAACCTTTGAACTTTTGTGCTATACTCGAGAAGAAAGGCTATTATTAACAATTGTTGGAGACAGGGACAGGGAAACGTGGATGCAGCACTAGAACTTCGTCAGTGACTTTTACAGGTATTTCTCCACCGCACTACTGTACCCGCTGGGCGTTCGGTTGGCCCGTATCGGATGTCAGCCTAACAAGACATTTACATAAAAATTTTACATTAATTCTAGACTTACGTATTGAATATTACAAAGACACAGTATACAATTATTATAAAGAAATTGTGGATTATAGCAGATTAATATAATATAATTACTTCTAACATACATCATACAATTCATTGTACATCGGACATTATACATTGTTCTTCATAAAACAATATATTTACATTAGTATATCTAATTACTTCGAATTACATTAAACACCTTTTTAAAGAAATAATTAGTGAAGAATTTTTTGTGCGTCTCCTAGTACTTTGTCGTATTCCTAAGGCAAATCATCTTGTTAATACATTTCCTTTCATTTTTTTTAAATTTGTTACACACAATTGCATCAGCACTGAAGTCTTACATTATTTTTGTAAATTAATGTATCACAAATACAGAAAATATACATTAGAAAATTACATAACATATAATTAATATACGACTTGATTAGATATATTAATGAAAGTTTCATTAATATATCTAATTAAGTCGTATATTAATTAATTTATTTAATTAATGATTCTATTATTACAAGATTTTTCCCCTCATTTCCTAATACAGTACAAATTCTTATTTTGTAAAAACAATTCATACCATATTTAGCCTGTTTCAGACATTTGCAATATTTCTAAAATATTGCATTATTTTTGTAAGTTATGGAATATTTAAGTCAAGAAATAACTAATAACTAATAATTAATAATATTTTTGTAAGTTATGGAAATTTTGCATTATTTTTGTAAGATATGGAATTCTTGAAGACAGCTACCGACACACTCATAGTATCGTAGTACAGGTCCTGGTACTGCTATTAATTTCAAGGGTAACAGGAAGGACCAAACGGCTGTGGCTCAGTTGACTTCAGGATATTTAAGGACACTCAGATATTACTGTGGTACTAAGGCTTTCCCAACTTGCGCCAAATGTAAAAATAATTAAACTAATTCTGAAAGGAATTATTATTAATAATAATTAATTTAATTACTGCGCAACATCTACTTAGTTGTCTTGCCTTGGTGCGTGAAATTTTGATGAAAAGACCTAATTTCGTAAAGGAAGTTATGAAGGCGTGTGAACTTATGAATCTGATCTGATTCAGATCAGAGGAATTAGTAAGAAGAAGATTTTTTTCATGTCATTTTTATAAGTAGAGCAGTTTATTTTGGCTTACAAGAATTTTTATGCATTTGTAAAATTAGCCTTACTTTTAGAGCCCTTTAAGTTTCAAGATTGAAAATTTAAGGTAATAAATAATAATGTTAATAAATGTGTTTCAGTTTCCTTTTTGTAAGATTCTCTTTATTTGAATCATTTTTGCTTGATAGCTTCAGTTATTACGTGTTCATCATTACTGTTTTTTTCTCACCTTCTTTTTAAATTAATTTTCTTCAAATTAAAGCGAAATAATTTTATTGCTATTGAATGAGATGCAAAGATAGCTTTACTTGGTGCATTTTTTAATAATATGATAAATAATTTTGAATTCTCTTCTAAACGCGTTATAATTTTTATCACAGGAAGCCATGGATATCAACGCAGAAAGTATTCACATTATAGGACACAGCTTAGGTGGACAAATGGCTGGCTGGATTGGAGAAAGGGTACATAAATTAGGGCGAATCACAGGTAGTTCATCAGTACCTTGCTTCTTAAATTTCTATCAATATTTCTGAACAACAAAAAGTTGTTTCTTATTTCTAGTAATTTTTTACTTAAGCTGGGAGAATATTTAAATGTGATCTCTTCCGCGATACCATGAAAGTGCTGCCTAGATTACCGACTGTTTGCTTGAAGTATGTGGCATTTTGAAATTATTTTGGATCCAATTAATATTTGGATTTCATTGGTTAAAATAAACAATGATAACGGGTTAATAAAGCATAAGTTTTGTTACTTAAATGTTCCTCCAAGCATCTGAGAATATAGTACGAAACTGCGTCCAGTCAAATTGATACACACAGCTTCAAGTACATCTGCGAAAGAAATAAAAAATAATGACATGCATATTAGTCGATTAGATATGTGTTATCTACTGAAGAGATAAGGTGTGTTTGCAACATGATTATTTGGAACCCTTGGATGTAATATGTATGAAACAAACCTGAAAAAACAATTACATGACACTTTCATTGCTATGTTTTGATAGCAGCATTAAAAGTACACTGAATAAGGTAACTCCATATACTCTTCACAAGGTTTTTCAAAATTATATACCCTTGCCTGCGGCAAAAAATACTAGGCTAAATAATTCGGTTATGTCCAGTTTCAGGCTTTCCCAGTTGAGTTTTTTTTTTTTTAACTATTTCATTTCAGCCTCTCTGGATAGGACTGGTAAAAACGTTCCCATTTCCGCCTTTTTATTTGGATTCAAAATATAATCTGAAAGCGCAATAGGAGGTCACGTGACTGTCAAAAATGTTCAGTAATATAATAGCAATGTAAGTGATATCATAATGATGCTTTAGCCTTACTTAAACTTAATTTAGGCACTGCTTAGATAAACTATTAATGAGATTGGTTATTAATAAAAAGAGATGTTTCTAAAATTTGATTACAATTCAATGTTATTATTTTGAAAGAGGATCAGTTCGATTGTTAAAGAATAATTGCGACTAAAATATTTTGCGAATTTTACATCTTGAAAATTGAAACATTGAGAGAAAATATTGAAACAACGAAAGCGAAATGTGTAAAATTTTGAGGATTTGGATAGCATTAAATATGTATTAAGAGTACAAAACTCAGTGAAAATCATCACTAATATTGCTATCACAATTTTTAATAAAATAGATTGATTATTTTATAGATTTTTAAAAATGTGACTTTTATCACATAAAAGAATTTTACGATGCAGACAGGAAAATGGACATTTTACAGCGATCTGCCTAATGGAGTTACTATATGGTACAAAAAGCTAGGAATATTTATTTTTTCTTTTTGATTGAAATAATTGTTCCTTATGCACTTTAAGAAGTCTCCTTTTTCAGTTTTCTCTCTTTTGCTTTCATTCCGAAGTATCTTAAAATATTCGTATGAGACGGCATGGACGCTTTCGTAGCTTTCTTCATGTGTAACTTATATACAAAGCAATTTCCCTTTGAAAGTCCTTCGTGAAGGCATCCCTCCTTTTATGCAGTTAGCCCTTGAGTGTTTTGCCATAATCAACTAAACCAAACACTTGGAAAGTGCGACTTTGCATTTATAAAATATTTCTCTAATAAGATCAGAATAAATTACATATTTTTCAAATATATTTTAAATAATTGAATTAATTTTGATAAATTTTAGGTTTTGTTAACACCTGCCAAAGAAAAAATAAATAATTATCATTAAACATGCTATTTGGCTGTAAAATAAAAATTTAAAAAATTAGCAATTTCGTTTTCCACTCGAAAGGAGATCATGCTTCTAAACCACCAGAAACATTTATCAATTAATTTCATTAAATATTAAATGTGCCTGTAAATTATTAATTCATTAATATGTACATTTATTAATTTATTAATATGTAATATTGTATAATATAATTTGATAATATGTAATATAATATATCTTATTAATTTAATTCTAAAGGGGTTAAAAATAATTTTTTATAACACTGGAATGTACAGCTCTCAAGTGCAAACTCACGTTGATATTTCATACTTCAAGTACGGAGATGACATTTTGCTTGAGACTAAAATTGAAACCCTATAATAAATTAAGATGAATAATTTGTAAAGAGACTTTTTTTTATTGCGCAGCAAAGAAAACGTGTTATATCCTCAAGAAATAAAAAATATATATATATTGCTTAAATTATCATTACATTTTCTATTAAAGTGTTTGATACAGCTTTTAGACTTATGAACCTTTAGGCTCGTGCTGCCATCTAGTGGTAAATGTATCTGTTAAATACCGTATTTGGCGGCGTATAAGACGCACTTTCTTTATTTCAAAATAGGTCTGCAAAATGGATAGCGTCTTATACGTCGATATATAGTTTCTGATTACCTTTATTTCTGGAAATTTCCACTGTTCGGAGTTATGCGATGTTTTCTTGTTTCCTGCGAAGTGTATTACAGTTACGGAGAGTTCAGTGAATGCACATGCGTTGTCATCGACGACGTGCTGGGTTCGTTTAAACCAGGGCTGTCAAACTCATAGGTACACTTACTTGGGCCAAACAAACAAGGTTTAACTTTAGGCGGGCCGGAAAAAAAAAATCAATATTCATAGAAACGTAGATTTATTTCGAATAATACAATAATAAACATATATATATATTTATATAGTAAAGAACAAGAAAAATTTAATGTTTACGTCCTGATACTTGACATCTCTTCTCTGCTATTATCTTTTCTATTTCGGGAGAAATTTTGTTTGCAGTGATAACTTTCAACGCTGACCCAAGGTGAGCATCATTAATACGGTTTCTAATAGGAGACTTATTACCTTTCATGACTGAAAATAACTGCTCGCACCGATAAGTGCTACCAAACATGGAAATAATTTCATATGCGAATTTTCGAGTATTTTCAAACCTGGCTGGTAAATATTTGTAAAATTCAGGCACGCCCACTTCAATGAATTTTGCTTTCAAATTTGAGTTGCATTGAATCTCGATCACCTCCATTTGCATATGGCTGTGTACTGAGTCAATACTTATTGAGAAAATCGAAGAAAACAAAAAAAAAAAAAATTGTCTTCGAGGGAACTAAAATCATTAAACCTCGTTTCAAATTCAGTTGTTAAATTTGCAATTTTTTCTGCGTATTTTTTGATACGAACAAGTATCATCTAAACTTGATTTGTTCATGCTGCACGTCGGGAAGTGCGTCAAATCTTCATTTTTAAGTTGTTTTTCCCAAAGAACTAGTTGACATTTGAATGCTTTAATTATGTCAAACATGTTCGTAATGATATGATCTTTTCCTTGTAACGATAAATTTAAATCGGTTAAGTGTTTCGTTATATCAACCAAGAAAGATAAATCTTGTATCCATATTGGATCGTAAAACAAACTTACGTCTTGATTTTTCGTTTTTTAAAAAACTGACATATTTCTTCTTTCAAATCCCAGAATTGTTTGAGAATCTTGGAGCAAGATAACCAACGTACCTCGGTATAGTAGGACAAACCCGAATATTCACTATCTAACTCACTTAAGAAAGCAGTGAATTGATGCTGATTTAAACCTCGAGATCTTATAAAACTTATAACTTTTTTATATATGACAAAACATTCTCCATATTTATTACTTTCGTGCATAGAACTTCTACTTCTTGATGTATAATACAATGCATATGATGAATGTATGAACTGTGAATTTCACTAAGTTTTTTTCTTAGTAATGCTACGAAGCCCTTGTTTTTCCCGGTCATTGATGGAGCGCCATCTGTAGCTACAGAATTTAATTTTGCCAAAGGTAGATTGTATTTCTGCAGAAGTCCAAAAACACAAGTAAATATATCTTCTTCTGTGGTAGTACCAGGCATCGGTATTAGTTCCAGTAATTCCTCAAAAATGTTAAAATTCTTGTCACAAGAACGAAGAAACACTGCTAATTGAGCTTTGCCACTAATGTCCGTGCTCTCGTCACAGGCAATGGAGAAACTTTCGAAACTAGATGATTTTGCTTTGATCTGATCACTTAAATTCGCGGCTAAATCAGTAACTCTTTCCGCAACTGTATTTCGAGACAATGAAATTGATTGAAAAGCCTTCACATTTCCAGGACAAACAATTTCTCCAGCTTTCATTAGGCATTCCTTGATGAAATCACCGTCAGTAAAAGGCTTCGAATGTTTAGCTATCAACTCGGACAAGACGTAGCTTGCATGTACCGCCGCTTCACTTTCTTGCAATACTTTACTAAACATGGACTGTTGCTTTTTCACTCCTAACTTGAGCTCTTTCAACTTTTCTTCTCTCATTAATCCTTCGTAATTGTTATATTTCGATTTGTGTTGTTCGTAATGACGTTTAATATTATATAACTTTGATACATTAATAGTATTATTACATATCAAGCAGATTATTTTATCTTTTATTTCACAGCAAAAATATTCTAATTCCCATTTTACTTGGAATATTCTATGTTCGTCAGCGATTTTTCGTTTAATTTTACTACCACTTGGTTTTGATATAGACATATGCATATAAAGTTTTGATTTTTGGCTACGGGTTTTTACTGGGATTTTGTTTATGGGCCTACAGTTCTACGTTTCTAAGAGATTTGGCCGTATCCGTACAGTCGTACGGGTTTCTGTTTACAGGTTTTTTTACGGGTATTTGGCCTACAGGTACCTATACAGCCGTGCAGGTTTCTTTCTATGGCTTTTTACGGGTATTCGGCCTATGGGTACCCGTACAACCGTACGGGTTTCTTTTTATGGGTTTTTACGGGAATTTGGCCTACGAGTACCCGTACAAACGTACGGGTTTCTTTTTATGGGTTTTTACGGGTATTTGGCCTACGGGTACCCGTACAATTGTACGGGTTTCTTTCTATGGGTTTTTACGGGGAATTGGCCTACAGGTACCCGTACAACCGTACGGGTTTCTTTCTATGGGTTTTTACGGGGATTTGGCCTACGGGTACCCGTACAGTTGTTCGGGTTTTTGTCTATGGGTTTTTACGGGGATTTGGCCTACGGGTACCCGCAGAGCTGTACGGGTACCCGTAGGCCAATTCCCCGTAAAAAATTTTTATGGGTTTCTACGGGGCATTTTTAGCAGGGATATAAGCTACGTCTGATGGCGTATGCTAAAGAACATGGAAACAGGGCTGCAGAGAGGCATTTCGGGCCACTTCCAACTGAGAAAATGATAAGAACTTGGCGGAATCAGGAAGAGGATCTAAAAAATGCAACTCACAACTCACAGTAAACATACGAAGGGGAACTACGAAGGGGAACTGCACAATGGCCTGAACTTGAGGCAGAGCTGAAAACTTGGATTTTAGACCACTGAAAAGAAAGACTTTAAGTCTCTACAAAATGATTATTCATCAAGTGAAAGCGAAAGTGACTGATAGAGAGATTGCAGATTTTACTGGATCAACATCATGGTGTTCAAGATTCATGAAGAGAAACCAGCTATACATGCGGACTAAAACAAAAATATCGCAAAAGATGCCAGAAGAATATGAAGAAAAAATTATTTAATTGATTCGTCGTTAATGTACGAAAACGAGAATATTTTGAACTTGCACAAATAGGAAACATGAACGAAAAAATTCGTCTGACTTTTGATGTGCCCTCAAACAAAACTGTAGATTCCAAAGGTACAAAAAGTGTTACTGTTAAAACTTCGGGGCACGAAAAAATTCACTAATCCATTTTATCCTGCTGTGAAAAGGGAACAAAAGTGCCCCACTATTGATTTTTTAAATGAAGACACTAACCTTTTATCCTTCAAAAATATGAATAAGAAAGAGGGATGAGTCTTATAGGCCGGTGCGTCTTATACGCTGACAAATACAGTAATATTTATGAAGAAGAGTATTAAATTTTAACAACATATTTTATTTCTTTTATTTGGGTAGGACTTGACCCAGCTGGACCCTATTTCCAAGGTGCTCCGAAAGAAGTTCGTCTTGACACCTCTGATGCACATTTTGTTGATGTCATTCATACAGACGGAGGAGAAAATTTTGTTACAGGTAATGTGAAAATACGAAATTTTTATTAAATCATTTCACTTAATACATTTTTTAATGCCCACAAGATATGAAATATTTTTAGAAGATTTTTAAAGATTAGCAAGAGCTTTTTAAAAATCTGTAATATATAGTGACGTTTCTAAAAAATGAGATGACAAATGTAAAATTGTATCTTATGGTGTTTATGTCAACGAAAGTTTTAAAGATTAAAACATTTTTTGGAAGCTGTGAGAAAATTATAAATAAATTGGCATTCTTTTCTAAAATATTAAATATAACTATACATAAAACATATATTCCAAATAAAGTTATCCATCGACATTCCTGAAGGCAGGATTGGGATGTCGTTGAGTAGAACCTTATAATCGTAAGAATGATGTAACCAAGCAGTGTGGTCAGCCCAGACACAAAGCGCCTTTGCATTCAGCTTCTCCTTTCTTATTAATAAGAAGGTGAATGGGCTTTAAATCCTAAAATTTCTGCTAAGTATTGAATCTATTAAATGAAGATGCAAATCCAAGGCCAATACATATTTATTGAAAATAATTTTAGATGTAAATTATTTAATTTCACTTCAGTTTACTTTCTAGTTTTGCGCTATTGGATCTTAAAATTCTCGAAAATTAATTTTTCCAAAGATTAAGATTTTCCTAGATAGTTTATATAACACTTTGGAGATGGATAATGTATTCAAATGCTTTTCATTTTACTTCCAGTAATTTCATATTCAGTTCCAATCCATCGCAACAAAATGAATATCGCAATAAAACTAGACATATGAATATTTAGCTTCTCAGTGCATGCAGGGAGATACTAGATGCATGCTTCTCAGTGCAAATACTGCAATTTAGTAATCAATACGGCTGTATAAATTGCTTTTACTTGAGGACAATTAACACATAAATTTTCTTTTGATCAAATTTAATTCCTTTTATCACATTTTCGACAGATGTAAATCAAATGATTTAGGCAGACAGGGCAGAAATAAGGAATTCCCTGAGAATAATTCTGAAAAAGACTCACGACATTTTATTGCCAGTATGTTAAACTGGTCATGGAATATCATTGACGCATTGAGCACTCATTATGGTCGTTTGAAATTTTGTCGCCTATGTCCAACTGTTGGAAGCAATAGCACTCCGCACAAAATTATCCCTTGTTGGTGAGAACTGACTGGCACAAATATATTCTTCATGTTAGTTATTCCGTTAGCTTCCGTATGTTTACAACGAGCATTTTGCATTAAATAAAATATACCTTATCAAAGAATATGATGTTTTGCTAATGAGTCTGCCACGTATGATGTTCTGTGCGTGCACCACAGCACAGTTGCGAGTGTCAAGAATAATTCGAGAAGTGCTGCAGAGAGTAATTAACAGTTCTTTTTATTCTTTGATAGAGGGCGTTTGTGCATTGCTATTGATCGCTAATGCTGCTTTAACACTGTCGATGACTCAGAACGATTAGCCAAAGACATTTTAATATCTCTGTATACATCTCTATACATCTCTTTGTACCTTTGCATTATACACATCCAAAATTTCCTTTCTTCTTACGGTCTTCTTTGAATCAATTTATGCATGTTTTTTAACACGCAGAAACACTCCCTCTACTCGCCAGATAGTATCGTAGAAGGAACTGAATTCTTTCATGCCATTAAAGTATCATATGTCAGAGTAGTTGACGTAATTGCATAGATGCCTTACGTGACGCAGATGCATTCTTACTCACTGCTGAACAAAGATTAACATTTCTATCGAGCCACGATGTTCTTGTAAAAGTATCGAAGCTAATTTATGTATGACTGTCTTTTGAAATTTCATTTTCATAACCTGAGAATGTATGGTCCAATGAAAATATAATGCTAATAATTTATTCTATATTGCCTATATTACATATTCTGAAAAATAAAGTTTTAGCCATATGTTTTTTAGGAAGTCTTGTTTTAAGAACAGCAAGATATGAACACAAAGCAATCTGAAATGTACTCTTCATTTCTAACCACAACGTTTTTGCCGTTTTATTAACGTGTTGAGCGTTATGTCAGTCACCGGTGATTAATGCTTAACTTTCCATTCGGACCGGGGCAATTACTGATGACTGAAAGTATATTTTTTACTCAGGCCACGTGAGACTTGTTGATGATTACCTAAATTTTAAAAAATATTTTCTTCTAGCACTTCCATACAGATCTCCAGCCTCCATTATAATCGCGATTTCGAACACTGCGAACTAAACCAAAAGGAAGACAAAACAAACGAAGCACCCAACTTATTAACAATTAGATGCTTTTCCGAAATATATATATATATATATATATATATATATATATTCTTATACTCAAAGGAGTGAGTAAGTGTTCGTTTGACATAATCTCGATAATTAAGTCTAAAAGGTTTTTTGAGCTAAATGCCTGAAAATGCTATAGCCGCTAATGTCTGGAGCATTTGCAGGACTAAGCAGTGCCTCTTTGATCTTGCACAAGGCCACCAGCTGAGCGTTTCGCTTCCTTTAACAGTAAGAGATCCTGCTAAATATTTTAGCAAATTGTCGAGTTAACACCAGTAGATTTCGACAATGACACTCATGTTGTTTAGCAGATGAATAAACAAGAGTTCACTAATTCAATCAAACGGACAGAACATCGGTAAATGCAAATCTTTCTTAGAAGCCAAGACTATCTTTTATCCTGTGTTCAACTACTGTTTTAAGAAGCTATCTTTCTGCAAAGAAACTTCTTTTTCATTGTATAGACTTAAGATGCATGCTACGGTGCAGTCCAAGAAGAGTTCACTGAGTCATTTTCATAATATTTTACAGTGCAGTCTATGAATGGTTCATGTTTTTGTAACATGAATATTCGGAAATGCATGTGCAGGTAGGCGATTTGTTTTCTGTTCAACTATGAGATAATTATGCCGCAAAAATCTCCCTCTTTTTAACTTATAAATGGGTCCCCCTTATATTTGGGTCTCCACTAACATTTTCAGTGTATCCATATCCAGTGTGTTGCACATTTTGAAGAAATATGCGATAGATCGAAAATTACCTTTCAAAATCATTCGTAAAAAAACATAACTTATTTAAAACAACTCTAATGATGAGCTATGGCATTAGGAAACGCACTGATAATATTTCTTATAACATGTGTTTGCTACCCTGCCAAACCTCAGACCATCCGATGACTGACGTACTCCTTGTTCACTTTGAAATTGGATGAAGCTTCAGCTCTTTATCTTGTTAAGTATCACGACTGATTTTTATTTAAATAATTTATTACTACTTTACGGAAATTTCCTATGCATCATTTTAGTCAATACGCGCAATGAACAGCACACGTTTTCTCATGTAATATTACTTTCCTTTCATCCTATTAATAATTTTATAACAAAGCATGCCATCGTATACCTATTATCGCGTATTTATTCTGATATAACAACGAAAAATGTTTGAAAAATTTTGAGAATTATCATAAAGTGGCTCAGAGATTCGAAGCGACCAAATGTGGATGGCAGAAATGTGATGACCAAAATCTGTGATCTGTAAAAAAGTGCAATTTATATAGGAAACACAATACAACAGACAGCAACTAAACCTTTTTGTCTGTAAGGAAGAAGAGTATGTAATTTATTTAGGGTGAGTGAGAAAATCAGTTTGAAGAACTGATTCAATGCCTAAAAATATCAATCAATTTATTTTATTGCTTTTCCCATGGACTGTTTTGGCACAAAATAATATTTAGCAGACGTGCCTGGTACCTGACAAACTCAACCAGAAGAAGAAGATGGGCTATTTAGTAAACGCTTCCAACAGTCGTTATTGAAACTGCTATATTAGTGTTAGTGTGATTCTTTTAGAAAGTTTACCTTGATATCTCTTGTTATAAACAGTTGTTTTCTCTTCTTTCAATAATGCTACGTTAATACGTAATAATTGATAATAATGCTACGTTAAAATAACTTATCGCCAGTTTCACTGCCTGACGATCATTCTAATACACATTCACACACCCTGCGTTTGTAATTGTTGCTGAGTGTTCAGCACTATTTTGACTGATGATGTAAGCACATAACTTTTATTTCAAATAAATACATAAAGTTTCAAGTTTCGTACACCATTTACGATTTTCCTCTATAATACACATTAGCGTACTTCATTTATTTCAGATACGCGGACATATTGCAAATTCCTCGTTTATTTTCAAGTTAATAAAATGTTATTTTTATAGGCATTTTGAAGGTGAACAAGCAGCAGTTTATTCGTGCATGGGATTAAAAACTATTCAATATAATGTAAATTTTATGCCCATTATAACGCAATTCATATTTTATATGTGTTCTCTAAAAATAATTATTTTTGGCTGTTTCAGGCCTAGGAATAAGTGAACCCATAGGCCATATGGATTTTTATCCAAATGGTGGAAGAACTCAACCTGCCTGTGAAAGTGAAAGTAGTTTAGTTGTTGGAAGATTTGTTAATGGTAAGTAGTTCTCATTCACAATCTATCGATAGAGTCCTAACATTCTGTACATATTCTTATTTTTTATTATAAATATTATTTTATCGTATATGTTCCATAAAATGTATAATTTCGTCAACGATAATCCACTTAATTTAAGGTTTAAACTTAATTTTATAAGCAGATTCTACTTATGAAAGGTTTAAGGTTAGAAAATATTTCCCGCCATTAAAAATTCAAATAATATTTATTGCAGTTTAAAGGAATAAAACATTTTATCACACGCACCGAATATGTGTGAAATTTTACTTTGTAATAAAAGTGTATGCATACTCCATGATGCTTTTAGTAAAACAAAGCCTATTTAAATATTCCATGGCATTTACGTAAGAGAAAACATATTTATATATCCCATGATATTCACTAAACTAACATGGGATAGTTACTGAAAGAATACTCCACATACACAGTCACGATATTTAGATTTTAAAAAGAAATTACACTTAGATGTAATGTTGATTTAATCGGGAGTAATTTTGTATTCTATTTTTATGATATTTGGGTGGAAAGAGTAAATTTCTTATCTCAAGAGCATATGGAATGTGGTGTATTGGAATAATCAGAAATGACAGGAAGTTAATGATTGCAAATCCTTAAAAAAAGGAAGAAAGAAACATATTAAAACATATAAATCTAATAAATAATACAGTGAAAAAGAAAATACGAAAAAGAAAATGCGAATATTATCATAAATTGTAATAAAGGCTAAGTATTGGGTCATCCCAAAAGTCTTACGATCTTTCATATCGAAGCGCGTTTCTTTCTAATTTCACTCGAGCTAGAAAATCAGCAACAAAGGTTAAAAGAAAGGGTGCGAACGTAAAAAGGAGAATTAAAACGTACAGTTTACATATGAGGTAGATGTTTCATCGTCAATGCAAATAGGTAACCAAAATTAGCATAAAAACGCAATCTCACGATCATACCACAACTCCTTAAAAATGGGCATGCCGGACCTATGCGTCAGTTCGCAGGCAGAGATAGTTCCTTCTAACCTGAGATAGCCAAAGTGGAAAGCATGAGCCGTAAACACCATTTGCAGGATGAAATACATTAGAAGGCTGTTAGGGTGTCGCAAGGTGGTGCAAGAAAATCTTGCGGTTGCGGGAGAGCTGAATGTGCTTCGTAGTGTCATCAACAGGCTTTGGAATCGTTACAGAAGTGATCAAAACCCCTGCAAAAGACGTTTATCTGGACGCCAGAGGATTACCACAGCAGCAGATGATCGCTTCCTATTGCTATGTACAAGACGCCGTAGATCACTAACAACACGACAGCTGGCGTTACATCTCTTTGCTGCTGCCAGACGGGCCATGTCCCTCCAAACTGTGTCGCGTCGACTGCATGAAGATGGATTGTATCCCTGCGAACTGTGGTTTGTGTTGCTTTGTCCCAATCGTATGTCAGAAGTGGTTGAATTGAGCCAGTTCACGTAGTAGCTGGACACCAGCTCAGTGTCCATGGAACCACATACTCTTTAAGGATGAGTCTATAATATGCATTGCCGTTCCTAGCATTACCTTTTCATACTAGATATCTTATACTCAAAATTTGGATAACTAACCTCTTTTTCATGAATGCTTCCGAGATGGATCGTGTACGCTTTTTGAGGATATCATATTTCCTATCAGGTTGACAAGCGTGAACACATTTTTATACATGAAATTAAAAGAATACCAAAGTCAAATATCTAGTGTACTAAAATCTGTTTTATTATTTAAATCTTTATTGCCATAATTTATTTTCTGGCTCTGTCAGGTGTCTGAATTTGTTTATAGCAATGAAGATTAGTTTCAATAAAATGACATTTTTAAGAGAAAAATTTCGGTTTTCCTCTCAATTATTTGCGCCATATTTCTTTATAAAAACATAAGCCTTGAAAGAGAAATGAGTAATTCTTTTCTTTTTGTAGAAGCCTCAAAGAAGATTTTGAATTCCTGTTCTCACAACATGGTAAACAAGTACTTCCTGGAATCCATAAACAGAAAAAGCTGCCGCTTTTATGCCGTTCATTGCACCAGTTACGATAGTTACCGACTAGGCGAATGTACACCAGCGAATGTTGAAGTGGCAGAAATGGGTTTCCATGCCAAGAAGATTCCAAAGTTGCCAGTGAGATCAAAATTCTTCTTGAAAACCAATAGCACTTCACCATATTGCATTGACGAATTTTCAGAATATTAATTGCCATTTTTATGTGCACTCAAGGTACATAGGAAAAAAGACCAAGAACTCAGGGAAAAACGGGGCATTTTATTGTTTGTTTTAATGAGGAAAATAAAAATGTTTGATTATCACTTCGTCTTTATTTATTATATAAGATTAAATATTTTATAATGCATAAGGCATGTTGTTTGCACCATAATTTTAATTGTTTATTAAATTATTATTTTCCATTACTTAAAATAAATAAAAAACTGAAGGTTTTAAGTGAATTAACAATAAGTTCTACTTCGCGAAAAATTTCATCAAACTATAGAACAAATTTTTATTTGTTTATTATATTTATGGCCATATAAATAATAGTAAAGACATTCAGATAAGTAAAAACTTTCAGATTTTCTCTTCGAATCGTTTACATATAAGAAGGCAACTAAGGGGATGAGAGAGTTATTGCATTTTTAAAAGTAAAGTTCTTCCTTTCTTAGTCTTGTATTTATAAGATTAAATGGTGAAACACTTAATCCTATAGTAAACTCACATTAATGTGAATTTTCCATAAAATGTGAGTTGTTAGTGCACAAATTAGCCTTTTATATAATTAAGTATGATAATGATTTTTACATATTAATCATAAAGAAGAATACTCTGCCTTTTAATGTTTTATCAAAATTGACAGAAATAATGAATAATAGCAAGTTTTTAAGGTCTGTTTGAATTGTGTCCCGCGATAGATTTTACATTAAATGCAGTGAAAACAACTAGGCTTTTAAAGGCATTCTGCCTTTTTAAAAATTATATTTCATCAATGACAGAAACGAGTATCAAGTTGAAAGGAATAATATTCAAAATTTTGCACTTTTTTCGGCTCAGCTCATTGAAAGCAAAAATTCTGAGCAGTTTAAAATTATTTTTGTTTCCTGGATTGGAGAAATCTACCGTATTTGACGGCATATAAGACGCAATTTTTCCTAAATTTGGTCTCAAAAAAGTTACCTGCGTTGTATACGTGAAGGACACAGTCTTATACGTGAAGGTAATTGCATTCAATGATTGTTTATTTGGCTTTTACGAAACGTGAGAACTAAAAGAAACCACGCTATTGAAACTTTTTTTCCTTGTGTGTGGCCGTCTAAATAAGGGTGCGTCTTATATGCCGTCAAATACGGTAATCAGAAGGCAGTGCAATATATAAATATACAGATATACAATAAACAGATTATAACAATCCAAGTTTCTAAACCTAGTTTTAAAGAAAGTTACATACTAGTTTTAAAGAAAGACAAAAACTTTCGTTTCTATTCTGTAAAGAATAAAATAAAAATATAGTTTTAATGGTACGCTTGGTCATATTTTCCTGCACATTTCAGTTACACATATTCTTGAGCGGTTTTTAAAGATACAAAAATAAGTGATCTCAAAAATGCATTTGCTATATATTCTAATAGCATTGTATAAGAAAGGATTGTGTATTACTGATTTTAATAAATGATTAACTTCCTTTGAGGAAAAACAAGATCATGCATCTGTCATTAATATGTTTAAAAGGTACATGATCTGTGCAAGGCCTTAGCATTTATTACAGAAGTACGCTAACCGAAACTTTAAGCCCTATTTCGTGTTATGGATTCATGAGTTTAACATCAAATTACGAAGTGAAATAATAATAAAAGTTACTTTGAAAAATTGCATATTTAGCTCAGTTGATCAATGTAATATTTACTTTCCTCTAGACATTGTACGGGAATCTTTTTCAATAGCATGGAGTTCTATTTTAAATTCAATTTTAAGTGCTTTCAGCATGCATTTTTGTAGCTCGGAAAGTATTGGTACATACGGAATTTTCAAGCATTCACTGATAAAAATTCTGCAGTTTTTCCAAGCACAGATATTTTAACATTTATTTGTATCTAAATAGCATGTTAAATCTATTATGATGAATAAAATTTAATAAAACTATTAAATAAACAAGATACTTAAAATATCTTCTCCTTCAAAATGAAATTAAACATAAATTGGATATTGCGGTCACTTATTTGTTAAAAATTTTTTAAATCTGAGAGACAAATAAGTGGACCATTGAATGTAGCATAATATAATTTCGAAATACACGACGTCCAAGGCATTTTATTGAACCCGAAAGAATGCTGGATCGTTAGAAATATTATTTGTAACTCTACTACAAATGCAGTCAAACGGACTTTACAAACCCAACGAAAGTTTAAAACGTCTGGTAGCGTACTAAGCTGTTAGGAATGTTTGAAGAAAATATAACTTCCACTATTGAACAGCTACAAAAATCTATTCCTCAGTAAACTCAGTTAAGTGAAGCGAAGGAATTACAATTCATTAAACCTGTGTTAAAAAGTTTTAAAAAATGTTTGGAATTCAGTTATACGTATTTGTAAATGAAGGTAAATTTAATACTTTGCGGATGACGGAAAGCAGAGGGTAAGGAACCCAATACTGAACTTCAAATGAAGACTATTATTTCTTCGGAAAAACATGGGAGGTAAAACAGTTGGTCTGGAGATATGTAAGAGCTTGCTGCAGTCTGTGATTTAGTTATAACAAGATGGGTAAACTTGTGCATTAAAATATTTTAAATCAAAATCTGAAACAGAGCGTTAAATTGTACCTATTGTTGCACTAAAAACGTGTTCCATTACAAACTGTGGTATTTCTATGAATGTCCAAATAAAAATAAAAAAGCCTGAGCAGAGTTTAGATTTAATTCCTATTGAATGCTTTAAGAATCACTTGTAAGACAGAATTAAAAAATTTAAAATTTGCAACAGGAAAAAGTGGAAACAAACCACACCATAATGGGGAAAAACAGAAGCAAATTTCTTTCAAAATCTTGTAAAATAAGTGCCTAGAAAATGCAATGAAGTCATAGAAAAGAAAGAAGTATCAACGCATTAATAAAATAGCTTTTTAAGAATAAAAAAGTGTATATTTATGTACTCCGCAACACTTTTGACATTTTGTACGTAAGAAATGTTTAATATTTATTTAACATTATTTTTAATTAATTAACGAAAGTTTCAGTTTTTTTTAACACAAAGATAAGAAACACAAGAAAAGTATTTCGTTTAGCTACTTAATTATTCTTTCAAAAATCTTAGAGAGCTTGTCATGCCTCAATATAGCTTTATGATTCACTCTACGACGTTTAGAACTGTTTTTATTTACTAGCCGCGTAAATCATGATTTACTGACCTGATGAAAGTTAAGGCAGCAATGGTATCTAAGAACAAACTAGAGCTGAAATGTTTACGTTTCCGATCATGGATTAGCAGTTAAATTATTTTGAAGCTTAAAACTTACTGCATAAAATTGAAATAGAGCTCTCAAGGAGGCTTAAAAAATTTGCGAATCATTTTTTGGGCTTCGACTCAGCCGAAGGGATTCTAACTGAAGCTCCCGCCAGACTAAAATCTGAAGTTCATGGATCACGATTGCCCAGTATTCCAGTGTGGGCAGGTACCCACTGGAGTTCAGGCCTATAGTATTTAGGTGTTCTTAGTAAGAGTTTTTGTATGGCCCTGACGAGTGGATTTTTACCACATGTGTCTTGGATTGCCTGGAGGCTAGAGGCTGAGTCTGAATATATACTGGAATAGTTATTTTCCAGTGCGTAGACAAGTGCAGCTTTTAATGCAATCATTTCAGCCTGAAAAACTGAGTTGTGGTGCTTAAGCTTTCTTTCCCAGGTCTTTAAGATCTGGTTCCCAAGTAGAACACAGTATCCGCTACCGGTGCCACATTCTCCTTTGGAACCATCGGTGTAGATTGCAGTGACGTTGAACCACGTTGGTGACCTGCAGTTAATCGAGATGTTGAATTTGGGCGCGTGGCTCGGGAATGCTTTGCTCATAGTCAGTATAAACATAAGTCCTGTCCCATAAACTTATTGTCTCTTTGAGGCGGAGCACTCGCACTATTGCACTTTAGCGCTGAGCTCAGAGATGCAGAGGCGGTAGTCCTGAAATCACGTTTAGAGCATTAGTGGGCGAGGTTTTATATCCTCGGGTAATGCTCAGGAATGGTCTTTGTGCTGAGCGTAGCAGATTCACCATTTTAGTAGTGATCGTTATGCCCCACATGGAGGCCCCATACAGTGCAATACGTTCAGCAACTACAGAGTACCACGTCTTAAGCATCCTCGAAGAAACTCCCCATGTTGGTGCTGCTGTTCTGAGCATGGAATGAAATATCCTGTGAAGTCGTGCTTTGACCTCCTTTAAACGTGGCATCCAAGTCAATGTGTCGTCAATTATAACTCGAAGGTACCTCAAGTTTCTGACTATTTTAATATTTTTCCCATGAAGGTTGATGCACGGGGTTCTTCGATGGCGCTTACCTGGGCAAATAAGGATACCTTGGGTTTTTGAGTTGGCAATAATTAACTTATGGTCATTGGCACATTTGGCCATCTTGTCCATTGCTTGTTGCGCCCTAGTCTCATATGCGTTGCGGCTGTGCCCTTTGGTTACCAGCAAAAAGTCATCGGCATAAGCCAGTATTTCCGTGTGAGGATCTGTGTTAAAGAGAGTCAGCGCTGTGTCCGCTACAAGATTCCAGAGCAGTGGACCCAGACAGGATCCTTGAGGACAGCCTCTATTGATGGAACGTGAGTGCACTACTGCGTCCATAGTGGCTTGTAAGCGGCGATCACTTAGGTAGCTGTAAATAAGGTCAAAGAGAATCTTAGGGCTACCCATGTCCTGTAATCTCTTCAGTACATCGGGCCACCACAACGAGTCGAAAGCGCCCTGTATGTCCACAGAGATAATGAGACTATGTTGGTTATTTCTTCTGTTATTTGCTATTAATTTTCGTAGGTGCTGCAACGCGTGATCCACCGATCTGCCAGGAATGAAGCCGCATTGTTTGTCATTTATGCTTTGTCCAGACAGGATATAGTGTTTAAGTCTTTGAAGAACGACTCTTTCTAGTATTTTACCCAATGCAGGAAGAAGGCAAATAGGCCGGTAAGACGTTGGTACACTAGGAGTGTAGTGGGACTATACTTACATTACTTATGGTAAACATTGGGTGTCCCACTACATTTCCATCTGAACCTGAACCTGTTAGAATCTTGATAGCTTCGGCTATATCTTTTTAGTTAAGATTAATTTCTTAGCTCCTGAGCTCAAGCACGAGTGGAGGCTTTTCTGTAAAGCTTCAATAAGGAGTTCTGTGAACATAATTTAGAATAATAAAAGGTATTTAATTCTTTCCAAGTTTAATTTTCTTAAGTTTAATCTTAAGTTAATTCTTCCCAAGTAATTCTTCCCAACTAATTCTTCCCAAGTTTTATTTTCTGTCTCACGAACTCAAGTGATTATTCGCTTAGCAGTTTTTAAGATTCTTGAACTTTAATTGTAACTTAAAAGTACACAGGTCAGAATCTTACAGTCTGCAAAGTAAGATCTCCTTGGTTGAACTTACCTATATCATAACTGAATTTTCAAAGACATACAGATTCTTAATAAGGAAGTATATAAGCTATTTGCAAATATAATATTTTACGCTGCTTGTGACACAATGTCTTATTAATTATATAAATGACTGAAATTTGTTTTCTAAGAATGTTTCTAATGAAACGCATGATCAAATACTCCTTGAAAGAATCCTCCTAGATTCAAGACTTCAATTAAAGAAGCGAATGAAATAAACTGTCTACAAATATGACAGATTTCCAGATTCATAGTTTATTAATTAAAGAATACATAGCTTTAAAACCAGATATCGCAGAAAAAACGTCGAATAAGAAAACGTATTTCAAGTATATTTTGAATAAATTATGCAAAAAGATCGTTTTCCTACAGTATCAAAATTAGCCACGATAGCATAAACAAAACTGTTTCAGGAGCCTGTGCAAATGCTGTCACAGATTATTTTAAAGTAGCAATTATGTTGAATCTTCGAATGCGGATTTGTGAAAAATTTGTTTTGCTATAGAAAAACATTAATTGAGAAAATCTGGTTTCAGCTGCCATTTGTAGAAATGCTAAAATCCGAGATTCAGTTTTTATTGTTTTAGAACTAATTCTGTACATTGAAAATCGATTTTTATCATGTAAGATATTGAATAGGTTAAAGCAACTAACTTGCTTGAAGCTTTAGTTTAGCTAATTCTCATAAAAATCTTAATTTTCATAGTTTTATAAAGGATGCCATGTGATCCAAATCATTATATTGGATAATGATACCTTATTTTGTTCATTTCTTAATGTAGAACCATGGATCTATGACCAACAGTTCAACAGGTATTTAGTCTTATAAATACCTTGTGCAACCGCATATGTTTGTTCGTTACTATGAAAGGTGTATTTAAAACAGGAGATAGCAGTAATTAAAAGATACTACGTTAGGAACTATACTTTTAAATAGTTCTTAGTGACACAACGACAATGCAATAAACTGTCTGACAGGCCACGGTTAAGATTAAACTCCTATTTATAATCTATTCCATTTCCTGGTTCAATGAACACTGAGACATGAGTGAAGAAGGATAGGATATGGTTTAAATCAAATTTACCTCTTAGTTTTAAGCTGAATAGTAACTGTTACAATTGATATTAATTATAATAAATATGTGAAAAATTTGCAATACAACTTTTTCACATGATTATTTGGTTCCTTCAGGAAGTTATTACTTTATGAAGTATTAGCTAAATTTACTGCAATAGTAATGTAATAATCAGATCCTTTCGAGTTAAAATTTTATTTATTTACATTATTAAATATACATTTTTAAAATCATATAAATCTGTTTTAGGTAATTTCTTTGAAGCATGAAAGAGGCTGAACATCTAAACTTTCGGATGAAAAGAACATTATTGATTAAAAGAGTCTATACGCAATTTAAACAGAGTAAGCTACATATTTTTGCTGAAATGCAAATAGATTCCAATATTACTTATCACATGAATCAAGTAAAGCTGTACAGACATTAGGATTTTTTTTAGAAGCAAGAGAGATGAAAAATATGCAATCCGCCTTCGCCGGGAATCGAACCACGGACCTCTGAAATAGCAGCTCAGTGCTGACCACTACACGAAGGCATGCTAGGAAAGCGGGAGAAATACCTTATAAAGTCAAAATATTCCAGTTCTCACAAAGTTATATTTTCAATACTGAGTAAAGCGTTATTCGTAGTCCCATTAGACGTTTCATTCAACTGAGACTTAAGTTTTTTGCTTTAAAAATTGTAACATAAAACTGTTTTCACAATTGTTGTTGTAAAATAAGAAAAAGTTTTAAACTATTAATTCTTTGTAACATATTCAATTGACTGTGTTATCTTTTCGGTTTTATCTGATATAATATATGACGGAACCCGTATAATTCATAAGGGCTAAAATATTGACACTGATAAATTGGGCAAGATGGCTTTCAGTTCCATATATAAACTTGTGTTGTGAAAATTTGTTTTGCCCTCAAAATGCGGCATCTTTTCATGCTGGTACCTCTGTTCTTTTGCTTCGCCGATGCAAAGCTGGAAGGAAAAGAAGAAATTTCTTCACATGCACAAGCTATAAGCGAACCACTAAATGGTAAAATGTTTTTGCCTTGTTTGTTGTAAGCTTTAAAATTCAACTAAAAAAACTGTAATGATCTTTATTCCATTATGTAATGCTATATCCATTTATATAAATTTTGAGAAATAAGTATTGAAATTATCAGAGAATAACAAAATTTCCCAAAATTCAGACATATATATCTTCTTCTTCCAATCGTAATGGTTAGACATATATGTCTAACTATTACATATAATTCATTATGCAACATGGATATATATATATATATATATATATATATATTGGAATATTTGCCTTTCGAAATATAAAAGATTTATTAGGTTCATGAAACTCGCATATGTATACATACATTGAGATTCACAGGAATTAATATATACTCACATTGTAGAAATTCTTGCGCATAACCGTTAAAATTGCAAATTTCGCGATAAGGAAGGGATTCTTTCGTAACTAGAATTGTATATACGAGGATATAATATCCTTATTTGCCTATTTATATGTGTATATAAGAAATACTATAACGATATCCGTAACTATAGGAACATATTCTCAATGAAATGCAAACATGATTGCAAAAAAAAAAAAAAAAAAAAAAAAGTATTAATTGATATACCTCATTTATTTTAGCCAAATGCGACTCAGTTTATCGTCCAGAGATATTGTCATTGTATTCATGTATATTTCCTATTAAAATATGAGTTTCGTAATAAGAAAAAGCGTCTGTAGTAAGAACATTGCCGTCTGTACAATCAATGGTTAAATTCCGACGTCTTGCCTTCTTCTTCTTGTCCTATAAATGTATTATTAAACAGTTCGCTATTAAATTCACATTTGGCCTAAGCTATATTTATCATTTACGTTAGTTACTATTGTTTAGTTCTTGTATTGAATACCCATTGTCTACCAAATTGATGTAAAAGCCTTACATTACGTTTTAATAATACTTGACAGTGTTATCTGAAAAGAAGAAAACTGATTAAAAACATTATTTAAATTATACAAATACTATTATACAAATACTTCAAGACCTATTGAAATTAAAGAATTATACAAATATTTCAAACAAATCTTATATTTTTGGTAATTCAATATCCCACTCTTAAATTTTATGCTGTTTTTCAAGTTTTAGTATTAATCTATCAAGTTGATGTAAAAGTCTTTTATCGCATTTTATTACTTGACTATATTGCTTCCGATAGTCATTAGAACTCTGTTCTAAAATATTTTTCATTCTTGTAAGCTGCTGAAGTAAGGAACTGGTATCAGAAGTGAACTTGCGCATCAGAGTCAAAGGTTTATTCTTATATTTAGCCTTACTGAGAAACTTAGCTAACTGCTCTACAGTTAGAGGTCCTGAAGCTTTAGAGATTGCTTTCTTTGCATTTTCAGTTAGGCCTTGAATGCCTAGATTAGAACTAAGTGGTTTATTCGTAACTTTGATCCCCGGAAACTTGTTTATTTCCATACCAGAGGATGACGTTTCTTGTTCATTTTGAGCCTGGCTACCTGATGAGGAGAAAGCATACATTAATATTGTTGAAATTAAATAGGGACATACATTTACTACTTATGAAAGATAAGTACTAAATCGTACATAAGAATGTGTGTGTGTGATTACGGCAAAGCCTCGAGGGCTATCTGCCTAAAGGGAGGGATGCCTTCGTGGAGGACTTTCTAAGGGAAACTGGCTCGTATACACGTTACACATGGAGAAAACCACGAAAATGCCCATACAGCCAGCCCGTTCGCGGGATTCGAACCTCGGACCGAACTACCAGTGTTCAGCGACTTTACCGCTTGGCCGCTGGTGGGCTTTCGTACATAAGAATGAATCTGAAATGTATTCAATTACTTCAGGCTTGCATAAAGGAAAATTTCTGTGCTAAGTGCTTTGAGCACTGCAGTGGATTGAGCAAAAGTGGCCTTTTCTTGCACATTTTTATTTTGAAATTTTTAATATGCGCACACATTTCATATTTAAAGAAGTCTATACTTAATTGAAATATTTGTTTAGTTATTAAAATAATCTATCAAACGGAAAACCAGTTAACCAGTGTTATTATTTGATAAAGTTCGTTTTGTATCTGAAATGTTTCAAAATGGGAAAATAAGAAAACTGTTGCAGATATCCGAATTTTTATGTGCATCTACATAAATAACTCAATAAAGGATATATTTTGTAATTTATAAAAATGAGTAAATCATACGTAAGGGCAAGTGAGGTAGATGTAAGCTGGATTTGGTAAAATCGGAATTTAAACCTGTGTATTTTCAATCTGGTATGTATATCTTGAGTGCTGTCGGTATCAAACGCTTTGCACAGTTATTAATGTTTAATTAATATTAACTAAGATTCTAAGCTTCCTTGTAGACCCTGTAAATTCTAAGCTTTCCTGTAGACATTGTACATTGTTGAACATAGATATAACTTTGCTATTCCTCACTTGTTTTAATTTCTTTGTCTACGAAGTACACTTATGTACAACATGTGCAGCTGGACAAGAGCGGTATTATTAATAAGTTTGTTATAAAATGTTTCTTTGATTTGGGCGAGGAATACAGGTTCATTCTTAAGCGACATCTATGTCGAATAGCTCATGTTAACTTGTAGTAAATTACTACCCACTAGGTAGAGTAATTTCACTCATATTATAATAAAAATAGCGGATATATTCAATTGTCCTGTTTATAAACTTAACTCACTCCACTTTACATGTAAATTTGTTTGCTTTCTTAACATAATTAAGTAGATACATATGTACAGCAATATGTGTAAAGACTATTAGCTAACAATTGCTTGCACTACGCATACTAATAATATGTTTTTATAACATTAATAGTGTATGCATATTAATATATACGAATATAAATAATACGTTTAAATTTTATAAAACTGCAGCAAAAATTAGAACTTTACAAAAAATGTTATAGAAATAGAAAAATTGCAACTGTGCAATTTAGACAATGCAATCAAATAAATTATAAAACAACTTCTTTGTAATATTATTAATAAAACGTCAATAATATAATTTTCCAGCACTGGCGTTATCTCTCATCGGTGGTTGCTGAAGAGAGTTCAGGAGGCGTAGCTGATGTAAGGGAAGTGAGGGGCATTAAGAAGCCAGAGTGCAGTTAAGAATACAATCGGAAATATGGATACTTTTAAAATAGGCATTTGAACATTCTCTTGATGTTATAAATATTAAAAACACACTTGATGTTATAAATATACAAACAATCGTACCAAAATTCGCCAGTCAATACTTCACACAAATTGCACGTGGTTTCGTTTTTTTTTTTTTTTTTTTTTTTTTAAGTTTACTGGAATAAAGCACAAAAGGGCTAACTCCCTAAGAAAAATTATACTTTTGTTGAGGGCTTTTTAAAGAAAATTAAATTGTATTCACATTACAGACAAAAAAAAAAAAAAAAAAACTGCAAAGACCAGCCATGCAGCCAGCTCGTTCACTTGGGATCGAACCCATATCGAGCTCAAAATAATCAGAGGTCTTAAGCGCTTGGCCGCAGATAAAGCTTTTCAATTTTTTTTTCTACTACAAGGGATCAGTTTACAAACTAATAGAAAAATATTCCAAAACATAAGCACAAACCCTTATTCACAATGATACTCAATGCGCTTGATAAGTAACTGGACTACTGGACATGTTTCGCAGGTTCATTAATATAATCATAATTTCTCAAATTAACCTTCAAGAAATGTTTACGTCACATCCCCATTCTGTTTCTGTACTTCATGATGAGTTGTATTTAACAATTAGATTCTGGCAAATGCAATAAATATTTAAAACTTTATATACTTCCTAGTCGGAACCCACAAATTGTTATGAACAGACATATGGTACACCACTGCTGCAAGGGAGGGACTGTTGAACGAACTCAGTGCTGAAAAAGGGATTGACTGTCATCGAAAAAATTATAAACTATGATTTACCATACAGCTATGGTTTTGAAAAACGTTTGGCGTATGATTTGGAGACTGCAAGTATAAGAGAGAAACATAGAGAAAACACATAATCATTATATTTGAGTAATAATATGTTACTCGTTTTAATCACTTAAGAAGAAGTATGCATTGACACAAGTTTCGAAAAGATGTCTGCTCGAGTAATCCAATAATTTTATAACAGTATTTTTCAGCAAACTACTGCAAGAAATGCATGATTTTTATATCTGCAAGATATATTACTATTAACCCTTTTGCATCGAAAGAGGCTAAACTCTGTTCTCCTCAAACATCTGAAATGTTCGTAAATACAACTTCTGTTGGAATGGATTTATTTCCTCCCCTGCCTAGTAGACTATCACAGCGTTAACAATAACCTACTTAAGTGACTACTCTCATTTTAGTGATCTTTGTGCGGTTGCACCCACTGTGTTCAGTTTCCCCTTAGGACAGGATTGCAGCTGCGAGCAGTAATAGCTAAACGTTGACGTTAAACCAAGGAGAGGAAAAGGGCACAAGAGAGCTACTTCTGTCCCTTGAAAGAAAAATTGGCGTGTCATTTAACAACTCCCGAAACCAGTGAGCCATACGCTAAAGTGATGGGGAAGAGTACTAGTTAGAAAATGGATGTAAGCGTTTTGACAACCTGCCGATGGGAGAATGCACGGGCGTTACAGGCGACTTCGCTGTGAAAAATATGACAAGTAACCCTGAAAATATCACAGTTTTTGATATTAAATCATTGCATTTAACTTAGCAATTCAACAGAAACAGATAAACCTCTTGCATTAGGGTTCTAGAATACTTCAAGAAACCTTTTTCTCTGAATATACTTGGTTCAAAAATTCAAGATGAAAGTTTACTTTTGCAAAAGGAAATGGACATTAGAAGCAATTCATTGACGTTAGTCTTCCGCTCGTTTGAAATGCTTAGATAGCACAGAAAAATACATTGCGTTTAAATGAATGAATATTATAAAAGTCTATCTAAAACACAGTGTGTATTTTGGTCTCAAAATCAAAGGAAAAAGAAGAAATCAACTTTTAATGGAATAGCAGCAAAACAATTTAAATTCAAAATTAATCAAAATTCACCCTTAGATTGACCTTGTTTTTATAAATTAAATTATATGCATTTCGAAATAAGCCTTGTCTTCCTCAAAATATAGAATTTTTCCATAAAAGCCTTTTAAAATTATTTTAAGTTTTACGAACACACTTTACAAATAATATTCATCACGGCTAAGAACTTGTTTGTAACCCTATATTGAACGATATTTTTTCACAGCATCTGAGAGAATATAAATTTCAGTGATAAAAATATTTGCAATTTTAATTTCCGATAACTATCTTCGAAAAGAAATGCTTAAAGTACATGATTCATTGTAGTACGAGTATTATTCACACAGAAATTTGCACACAGAAAAAACGCAGAAAAATATTTTTATTAATCCTTGTCCTTCTACGTAGCAACTCACATGGCTCGAGTAATTAACATAATAAGTTACCGTTCATCGCGGGATTTAACGGAACAAAAATGCTAGTGCAAAGGTTAAGACACGGAAATGTCAATTAAAATGGCGAAGTACTACTACAGGCTTTGGCTGATGTCCTTTAATCGCATGAGTAAAAGACGACTAGCAAAAGTTAAATTTGATTTAAATAATGCTAGAAACTAAGCAAAAGTAATACGGAGAAGATCAGGGATCACTGTCACAAAATCTTAACCTCCACTTTCATCACTTTCATAAAATAAGAATTCTGTTTTTATACACGTTAACTTAATTTACGTTTTGGTTGGAGCCAACAGAAGTATAAGTGATAGTAAATACAAAAATAATAAGATAATAGGTTAATAAAACATAAGCTGTTGCTATAGCTTGAAAGCATATATAATAGTTGTTTCTTTCTCGCAAGTAAAGTAGAGTTCTACAGAAGTGGAAAGTTATTTCTGTAGAGGAGGTTAATACAATTAGTGAAAGCAACTTTAATATGGATTTTGGAAAAGTATCCTCAGTACACATTGCATGAAAATTAGTTTATAACACTTTGCAAGAATTAATCCATTAGCTGATGAAAAAGTTTGCAAACTTTTATTTATTTATTTACTTTACGTCGTGCAATTCGAATAAATCAAATCAGCCGCACGCTTTGATTTCGATTCAAAAAAGAGGAAAATTGAGATAAATATCGCTGCGCTGTTACAAACACATTGTTCTGATTCAATTTCTAAATTCACTTACCGCGTTTCTCCTATTCATTTCCCTCCATTTTGTATCTATCCACTTATTACACCTAAATTAAGCATTAATGTGAAATCTATGAATTTCCCTTTAGACCTCTCGTCCGAATAATCGAAAAATGAAATCTTTACTTACTGTTCTGAAGTTGACTGATAAAATTTCTGTTTATTAAAAGACATATAACTCAAATTCTGTACTTATGAACTTCCAAATTTTAATAGAGGTTGAGTTTCTTTTCAGTTGACAGTCTCTCAAATTCCAAAATAAACATTCGAAGAAGCATGTTAAAAAAATTTTTACGTAAAAAGAATAATATTTTTTTTTGGGGGGGGGAATATCACGGGTAAACCTTTAGACATTTTATAGTATTCTAAGTTTCAATAACTTCTTTTATTTCATCATGGGTACTTTATATGCCGGTGTTTGTTGCTTTTGTAACCATAAGAGAAAGAAATTAAATAATAAATATTAAGCTCTGCTGAAACTCTCTTCATACATTATCAATTAAAGTAAAAAGTATTTTCTCCTTCCTTCCAACAGACCTTTGCGGTGTAACTGTAGCACACTCGGCGCCTATTCGAGAGGTACAGGCTCGAGACCCGGCGAGGGCACAGCACATTTTTCCTGCTCTTCTGCCTCAAAATTACCTAATGACTCTACACAGGTGACATAACTAAAAGGTGGTGCACAATAATTCTTTACCACCAGGATTTGGCGACTGGGTGCTATAATCCCCAATCGCCCTTTTAAAAGTGGGAGTATATAAGGCATTGTAGCCCTCCTTCCAGTATGCCTTTGTAACGGTAACACACTCGGGGCTTATTCGAGAGGTCCAGATTTTTCATGTATTGCTGCTTCAAAAAATCCTAATGACTGTATAAATGAAGTATCAAATAATAGTTTAAAAATATTAAAGGTCTCTTACTATTGTCCATATATTTAGTACTCCACAGTAGAAGTTTATTTTCATTTTCCCATCTGCGTTCTAGCTCAGAGAGGTGTTGCCGTTCTTCCTTTTGTAGTTTCTTCATTGACTTCGTCAAATTTTCGATGACACTGAAATCTTTGTCCACTTTATTAAACAAGAATGCCATTAGATTTTGTATCCTTTCTATGTGAAACCGATCTGTTTCCTCTGAATTTTGTTCTGTTTCTTGGATGCTATTATGAGATTCCATTGGAGTGTTTTCGCAGTTTTCAGAGGGATCCTATATTAAATAAAAAATTATATTTTTTAATTGGTTGGCTTTAGTAATTAAAATATATTTATTATCTTATCCTGCATCTAAAAGGAATACAGAAAACAGAGCGTGATGTTATATTGCAATACATTTTCAGTTATAATGGTCAAAATACTATAAAAATATAAATTTTTAAAATTTTTAAATCAACAGGATTAACGGGAAGCATTACTACATTCTTAAGCTCACATTTGAATTTTTGAATAAGGTATGAGATCTTGAGATATCGCTTTTGAACGCTGGGAATTTCTTAACCCTCTGCTCATTGTAATACATTTTGGAAGCGTTCTTAGTGAAGTAGAGCTCGAAACTTTTGGTGAAAAGAAATTCCTAGTTTGGGTTGAAAAGGGGTTAAGCATCACCAGTTTGATGGAGGTTTGATAACAGACCTTGCATAAACTGATAAATATCTTTTTACTTGCAATTCATTAAAATATTCAATATTGATGGAATATAAAACCTCGCACGCCTTCTAATTTCATCAAGGAAAAGGAAAGAAGAGAATATTATGATATTTAGCAATTCAATATGAAAACATTGAAAAGTTTTTCTGTTTTGAGAAAGCAAATACTTATATTGAGAGAAAAAACGTTGCACACCGGGCTAACAAAAGCAAAAATTCAAAACAGGTCTAAGCGATTTCTTTCATGTTCGCTTAGACGTGTGCTGTTGCAATTAATTCTTGAGTTCGCAAGCTAATCCAGGTATTATTTTAATGGTTTCAAGTATTCACAATAAAGCAATGTTGCATTAACCCTTGTTCCTGCGTCTTATCATCATAATTAGAACTAGAATGGAACTTTATAGCATTAAGATCGAGTAAATCTACAAACGCTGCGTAATGCATGGAAGATTCATCTCTTGCGATGCAATATGTAGCAAAACGTTTTGAACATTTTGAATACCATTAATATCTATGCTAACATATACGCATAATATCTATGCATTAATAAAAACGATACCTCTTCATTTTAAGGTTATTTCCCATAAAATAGTACATTCATTGAACATCAGCGGTGTAGTGTTGCTGGCACTTGAGGACAGCACATTTTCGGAAACATTTACTTTAAAGAATTTCCAATTAGCCGAGGCAAAAAATACATTTAATATGCATATTTTCTGTTAATGCTTAAATTTATAGTTTCATGAAGAATGAAAAAATATTTTTATTAATTAATTTAATATTTACTGTTTCGTAATAAATATTATAAGGAGTTTTCTTCTTCCTTTCAGCAAGCCTTCGTGGTATAATGGTAAAATACTCTGCGCGTATTCGAGAGGTCTAAGTCCTAGGAGGATATTGCTCATTTTTCACGTCTCATGTTTCAAAATAATCCAATGGCTCTAAAATAGCGCCCGAACTAAAACTTGGTGGATAATAATTTGTCACCAACAAGACTTGGCGGCCGGGTCTGCTAATCCCTGGTCGCTCTTTAAAAGAAGAAGTATACAAGATATTTTTTCCTCCCTCCAGCAAGCCTTCGTGGTGTAACGGTAACACATTCGGGGCGTGTTGTTTAGTTTTAAGTGCTAGATTTCGAAAAGCGTGGATTGGAGTTTTCGACACACGTTTTCTTGAGAGCTTTTGCTTGATTAGTTTAGACAATGATTTGCTTTACGTGAAAGTATTTCAGATTGACTAAATATGTACCTTAGATATAAAAGCAGTTGGGCTTACTTTGAATATGGGTCGATTCATTGATTCAGATAGAAATGAAATCTCCACGTTCATGTGAAGAATAATGTAAATTTTTTCATATGTGGCTGCTTAATGTTTTACTCGTACTTCATGTTGATAATTTACATTCATGCTTGCTCTTTTATCCTAAAATTTCCACTGAATAATTTTACCGTTAGTAGCCTTTCCTTTTTTATCATATCAGTTTATGAATTGGAGCATTCTCTTTGAATTATTATTATATTATCAAGTTGTTTTATTATTGGAATGAAAATAAAATATATCATATGTATTCAACGCAGACTGTAGTGGCAATTTTATTTTTATTTTGCAACGACGATATTCTTTACAATTAATCAAATATATCGATTAAATATTAAAAACGTTTCTTACCTTTAATAAGGTATTCGCTTTCTTCTCTGATGGTTTAACTGGAGTATAGTAAGTTGAAATGAAGTACTGGATTGTTTTAATGTCGGATTTAAGTTCTTCACACATTTTGTTCTGTGATTTGTGTTTATTTATGCTTCTATCATGTACATTAGTAATACTTTTTATGCTTTCACTGATTTTCTGCGAAAAGCTGCTTTTCGAAAGTTCCAAATTTTTGACGTCTTCAGAATGGCATTCAGAGTTTATGTCATGCATGCTCGTATAGTTCTTGAAGTAGAAACTAAAATAAAAAAAAAATGAATGGTTTATAAGCACATATGCATTGCAGTATTATAAAGCAATCTTAAAGCTAAAATACTAAAAACACACATTTCTTAAAACTGGAAATGAAGATTTATTTCCTATTTTTTCCAAAACAATTATCATATATATCTATTTCCATTACTTATAAATTATTGTTATAATTGTGAAAGAAATAATTTGTTTAGTGCCAAGTGAGAAAATTGGAAAATTCAGTTCACAAATGGCGTTATTTGCGAAAGAAGTTCAATGGAAACTACTTTTTAAATAGAAAGAAATTAAATAATTATTATTAAAATAAAGAAAAATTGTTTGACGATGAACATCTATTTTTAAATTAAACGTCAATGGCTTTAGTATTTTAGAACTATTCCAATATAATAAAGGTTATCTGAGGGATCTAGAGGAATAACTTAATCGTGGACACTTTTGAGAAAAAGGCTCATAGATCAAACTTGTAATAAAATATAGGGAAAATACCAGTACACTCTTATTTATCAATACATATAATAACAATGCCTTATATCTTTCATACCATACAGAAAAACTACTAGCTAACGCAGAAAATACAATGTTGATATAGACTTAAAAAGTTGATTAGTTTGTAAAACAGAGGGAAATCTCGGTTCAAAATTTAGTTTATTCTTGAAGGTCTTTCGCCATTTGAAAGTTTGTAAACCGAAATTATTTTCCCGTAAGTGTTAATGTAAATTTATTAATCCATTTCCGCACCAGAGATGATCATTTATTTAAAATTCACAACCGTGCACAGGTACATCTCAGAAAAATAATGGAAATTATTAAATCTAAGATAAAACGTTAATAAAATGATACATATAAAACAAATGCAAATTTAATATAATTCTACAGTACGCGTTCAAATACGAGTAAATGGCATAAATGGAAAGTGATGATTTCGAGGAAAAAAAAAAGAGATGTTATTGTTTGGATGAGAATTTTCTTTCATAAACATGTAACATAACTATCTTTCTGAGGATCTTCTTTTATCTTTTCTTTGTCTCGTATCGCCCCTCCACTCTACCTGAGACTTATGCGGCACTCAAAACTAGTTCAGTGTAATTTGTTATTGTATATGCTTTAAAATATGTCTAAAGTGAGACATAGAATTGTCATTGAAAATGCTTTGCTGTGAGTTAATTTTACTGAATCAGAGTATATGCATGAAACTTTGCGCTTTATAATATAATTTGCAAACTTTTCGAAAATCAAATAACTAGGTTTATCTCGCTTTTCGTTCATCTTCCTCTGATGACACATCCTTCACAGTTATTTCTGAAAATGTTTCAGTTTTTTCTTGTTGAATTAATTTTTATAGCCCTCCTGAAACCCTTAAGGCCTTTATAGTTAATTTCCAAGGCATGGATTTCCTTGGAGACGCCACATAATACGTAGGTAAGTTGAAAAATAAGTTTCCCTGTCGACTGTGGTCAGAGTTGTGTATGAAAGTCAAAAAATAGAATGAGACATTAAAGATATGACATACCTTTATTTTTCCACATAGGTACCAAGTACACTGAGATATTTGTCATATCGCTTGATAAGCTTCAAAAAGTCCTCCAAGAAAAATTCCCTCTTTGCATATGGAAGAAGCGTTGAACGGCTATGGGCGAAAAGCGACACAACAGGAAAACGCGCAAGTCACCGATACACCATTGGGTAGAGGTCGCTGCAAATCAAGCAGATGGCGCTGTTGCAGTGCCTACGCAAAGCCGAGACCAGCCTCTCATTTGATCCCCGGTAGGTATGGACAGAAGGTGCGTTTTGAATTCGTGGTCAAAGGAGGAAGTGAGAGTGGTTATCCGCTATGAATGGGTACGTGGAGTATCAGGAACAGAAATTCATAACCGCCTCGTGGAAGTCTATGGGCCAGGTGTGATGTCGAAGCAAATGGTGCGGAGATGGTGTCGCACATTCAGTGATGGACGTCAGCAAGTGGAGGACATACCGAGAGCTGGACGGACGTGCACGGCCACTACAGATGCAAATGTCAGGAAGGTGGATGACATGATTAGAGCGAACTGGCGTATCATCATCGATGAAGTAGTGGAAGAACTTGGAATCTCACATGAGCGAGCTCAAAACATCATCCACGACATTCTTCGACACAGAAAAGCGTCAGAACGATGGGTGCCCCGACAATTGACCTCGACACACAAGGAACAATGCATGGGGGTCAGCCTGGAACATCTCGTGCGTTACCATGAAGATGGCAATGACTTTCTGTTTCGGATTGTGACGGGGGATGAAACGTGGGTCCACCATTTCACACCAGAATCGAAGGCCGCATCTATGGAGTGGAAACATCCGTCATCACCTGTCCGAAAGAAGTTCAAGACAACTCCCTCTGCAGGTAAAGTGCTCCTCACAGTTTTCTGGGACGCCCAAGGAGTTTTGTTGCTGGCGATTCAGAAAAAGCGGTTTGGCCTTCTCACATCTGGCGTTCTGCTGTTGGATGACAATGCCAGACCACATTCGGCGACGGCAACGCAAAAGCATATTGCAACTCTTGGTTGGGAGCGCCTACACCATCCGCCATACAGTCCTGATCTCGCACAAAGCGACTTCCATCTGTTTCCGGCTTTGAAGAAAAATCTCGGGGGAAGGCGCTTTGGAAGCAATACTGAAGTGCAACAAGCCGTTCAACTCTTCTTCCATATGCAAAGTCCTGATTTTTTCCTGGAGGGGTTTTTGAAGCTTATCAAGCGATATGACAAATGTCTCAATGTATTTGGTACCTATGTGGAAAAATAAAGGTATGTCATATCTTTAATGTCTAATTCTATTTTTTGACTTTCATACACAACTCTGACCACAGTCGACAGGGGAAACTTATTTTTCAACTTACCCTCGTAGATAATAGTCAAAGCCCTGAAAATTTCTGTTTGCAACACATCTAGCCTTGATTTACTCTAGGCTAAATTCATAGCACAATAAGTTACTTGCTGTGGAGTGTTAAACAATGGAAAATATTAAAATGATGTTCTAGAATTCTATCAGTATTAATTCCGTGTTTCAAATAACCTCAAATCTCCTTTGAAAATTATTGATGTCGACTTGAGTGTTACTAACTCGATACAGTAGTCGTCATGAGAGGTGTTTTTGTTCGCGTGTTTTTTTCTAGTAGAAAAGCATTCGTCAACCGAGGTTCCACTGTTACAATGATCAAAATTATAAAATAATACAAAACATAACATTTATTCAGTTTCGGTTAAATCAACAAAATACCTTACTCCATACTAACTTAATTGAGAAGCGTTCATAGCTGGGCTAATATTAGGTTTGTAACTTCAAATCACAAAGTATTATATTATATTTATATATTATTAAAATTCTGTTGCATTGATCATGAAAGTAATAAAAGCGACATTTCTTTTCACAAATAAAAATTATTAGTCTTCAACGTTTAGAGATACATAAGATACAAAATAAATCAGGGGCTCGAAATACTACTATAGTTAATAAAAAAGGAATAGAGTGAAATCGAAACTTTAGCTTACTATAATTCGAATTTGAAATGAGGCTTTGGACCATGAGGATTGTTAAGTAATTAAACAAACAAACAGATAAGTGAAATAGAAATAAGCCTGACTAAAAACCTTATAAAGAATATAAAAAATGAGGTAAATATAGTTCTATACTACTGTTTAGAAAATAAAATACTGAACAACCTTTGTTATATTGGAAATTTTAGTCCGTCCTTTCTAAAAAATCGCAGGCCCACGAGGTGCCGAGCCGTAAAGTCGCTGACCACTGGTAGTTCGGTTCAGGGCTCGTATTCCGACGAACGAGCTGCCTGCACTGGCGTTTCAGTACTTTTTTCCATGTGTAATGTGTATACAATTCAGTTGCAAATGCATGCGTCCCCTTAGGCAGATAACTCTTGAGTTTTTTACCATTAATAAATAAACCAAATTTAAATATTCACATCTTATTTATTGTGGACTACAACTGCATTGACAGGGATTACGTTGGCTGGATTGCATTAGATAGCCTGTTGAGTAACCGCTAACACATGATATTAATTTAAAAATTAAAACGTATCATGAAATACGTAAATTAAACGTATTCTAAGAGAACATTTTGGTCAGAATGCACAGATCATCACATTGAATGTTTAGCCTATATTAGCAGAATTAACATAAAATCATGAACACATTTAAAGTACAATAATACGTATTACATGATAAATCATTTTAAATATGAAAAAGACATTTTTTTCTTTTCTGATTATTGTTAATAGAATTCAAATTAAGTCGTATCTTTACAGACTTACTCTGCACTTATCAAAATCTTAGATTTTCCTGTAGAAGCGTAAAATAAGCAGTTTATTTGAAATATTGGAAAGGTTAAATAAAGAAACAATAATTACCTGTGGGCACAAATATCTCGACAGGTTTGTAAGGAAAGTTCAAAAATACGTTTAAAGCAGGTAAACTTCGAAAGGCATAAAAAGCGTTATAGTTATCAGTTCTGTATGTCACAATTATACTGAAACGCAGATAATTCTTTTCTGATATGGTAGCGGTAGAGATAGTGATATACACATTGATAGGATCACCGTCATAAGCCTTTTATTTGTTTCATTTTTTGATCGCTTTTTAAATTCTGATAAAATGTACTTCAAAGCTTAAAGAAATCATATTATGTTACACATCTGTTCTGATTTTAAAGTGATAATTCAAATACTAACATTTTAGGATAAAAAATTTTATGGAGTCCAAGCGTGATTTCATGACGTTATCTTTAACAACATAAGCTTTAAATCGTTTAAGAATTGTTTCAAAAACGGAATTTAAGTGAAACTTAAAAGGGGAATTAGGAATATACTGTTATGGTTTTTGTATTTATTTAGCTATTTTTAGTAGAATTTGTTATTAAAAGTGTTTTACATTCCCGTGCAATGCAGCACGAGACTTATTTGAAAAGAAAGCTACGCCGAAAAATTAAAAATACAGGAGCACGCGCATTTAATAAATAGATATATCGTAATTGTACGCTTTTGCTTTCCGGAAAAATCGAAAAATACCAGAATATTCTCGTGCACATTTCAAAAGCTTATAAAAGCGGTAGGAAAACATCTCAATTTAGTTGCTGTGAAATTAGATTAGCCTTCTTTGTTTTGAATTAAGTTCTGTTGAATGTTTTAGTAGTTTAAAAGACTACTGTGAGATATTGCGATATTGTACGAATATCTCTAAGGAAATTAAAGCATTTCGTATTTATTCTTGGGATACGAATAAATTTGATTCACTTTTCATCGGACTTGTGCATTCAATTTATTACGAACCCGTACGCACGCAACAATACTTTTCTTAAACATTTATGCAATAAAATACTTAATATATGTCTTGCTATATATGTTCGCTAAATCTGCACTCCTCAAATTAATTTTTGAATTAAATTTAAATTGCTACAACGAAAAGCAGATTTATGCTGCAATTTATTTTCAATCTAAAAGTTTATCTAAGATTACTGCAATGGTTCTTATCGGTGGCCAATAAATTCAATAAGTTTCAAGATATAGGTGACCGCTGACCAATGTCATTGAAAGTTGCCTCTGATCAACAGTTTTGATGAATATCGCTGTATTCCAGATAAATTTTAATTAAAATATATTTATTTTATGCACTACCCCAGATAATGACTTATGGATTGAACCCAAATAAAATTCAACTTGTTGGTCACTGGCGACCAGTACCCTTGAAATGCACAGATAAGTTCAGATTTAATTTTAATTTAAACATTTATCTAAACTTTATGACTGCAGCATATCGGTGACCTGCTGATTGACTTCATGCGACCCTCAACGTGTATGTCGCCAGTGACTGGCAATTAGAGACCAAAACCTTAATGGGCATTTGTGATATTGAGTTCCTTAATTTATTTCTGTGTTCCATAGCAGTGACCTATAGGTGACCTATAGTGACCTTCAAAGTCACTGGTGATCAACAGTTTGAAAGGTAAAAAAAAAAAAAAAAAAACCTCTTTACTGTTAATTTAAAAATGTATTTGAACTACCGACTTCTTCTGACCGGTGGGTTAGAAGATGTCTATCAGTGAGTTTTAATTTGTAGGTCACGGTAACCAATAACAATGAATGGAACTAGAGACCATTTCGATTTAAGTTGCAAAAGTCGTTTCTCTTTTTTCGCCAACAAAAGAGGGAATCTTCAAAAATCTACTTCTAGTGATTTTTGAATCTACTTCTAGTGGAATTTTTCTTATTTCCTAAATTTATTATAACTTCCTTCAAGTTTGGAATTCAGGTTTTGCTGAAATTAAAAATATTTTAGTTATTAAATGCATTTGTGAAAGATTAATTATTTTATCTCGTTAATTATTTGTGCTAAAATAATTAAAGCTCAGTTTAATTTGTCTCAATTAACCCTTTTTTATTAAATAAGATAGAATTATATGTTTTAAAGTTCTCAAGATTTGATTGATATTATTAGTACGATATATGACTCTTCTAAAATATTTGCTTTAACTTGTAACATTTCGTTAAGTAAGATCTGTTTTCTTCGAGTCTATAATCCTTACAGAGCTTGAAGGAGTATCAGCAACCCCCTATATCGACAAAGTTAAATTGGCCATTTTCGATGTTCCTTTTCTCAAATTCTGCAGTAGATACACGCTTGAAATTTTTTGTGTAATTAAAGTATACCTATCTGATTATACTGAAATGAGCTTTTGGAACATTTTGAATTTTAGAGTAATTTACAGAATATTTTGTTTTCAAATATTATATTTCATATTACAGTTTTTTTCAACGCAATATCTGAAAATTTCTCTAAGTATTGGAATTAACGTTTCCCGTTTATATAAAATTGTAATTGAAGATACACCTAGTGATTAATGGAAATTTCAAGATAATTCCATATTTCCTTCTTATCATTTCAGGGCTTTTCCAGACAAAATGTATTGAAAACCTTGACTGCTTTTACACAGGTCCACCTTTCTATCACCCATTATATCGCCCGATAAGTTTTGCACCAACTTCCAATTTGGGTACAAAGTTCCTACTTTATACTCCTTTTAATACTACAGATCCTGAAATGGTGCAACTAACTGAAGATTCAGTTCGAAATTCAACATTTGATTCTCAACTGTCTACTAAGATTCTGATACACGGATACACCGTTGAACTTAAAGAGAATGACATCAGATTCGTAAGTTTTCATTTCCCTTGGAGTTTAAAAATTTAAATAGTTATATTGATGTTGTGTCTTGTATACTTTTTCCTTTATGGTGGTAGTTAACGTATTCTGTCTAGCTCTGGCACCAAGGCGGATTATTGTTCTAAGTCTGCAAATTTAATCAGAAAATGATTGCAGTAAAGCTAATCGCATTGCGTGAATTAATATTTACACAAAGAACTTTCTTGAAATGAAATTTGATTCTTTGCAAATATGCAAGATTGTTGATTAGAAAAATGCTCTTAACTTTACTACGTATTTTGACATTTAATTTTGCCACAGATTTAAGCCAAAAACCATCACTTTGAATTTTATACTCAGATTTCAGTGAGCGTTGCCAAATCAGTTCTTCGAATTCTATTAGAAATGACAAATTGTACAAAATATACTTTCTATATGTTACAACAAACTCTATAAATACAGCTGAAATAGAATTAGAACTACGAAAATCTCATATATAGATTATTTCAACTAAAAGGAACAAAAAATTCAACCGCAAAGGTCAAACATTTTAAGCTTTGTATATTAAAGTTATAGTAGGCCGCCTATTTAAAGAAACAAACAAGGCCTAAAAAACAAGGTTGAAAAGTACTACTTTGTAATTTTTCTTTTTTGCTTGTGCTTTTAAAATGCGAAAACGGAACCGGGAAATACAATCAAAAAGTTAGCAATATACTATGAGACATATTCATATTTAACATTCAATTAACATGTAATCTTGATTTCACAACGCCTCATATTAGCAGAATTTTAATTATCGCTTGAAAATCACTAAATCGAGATTCAGTTAAAATATGCATCCGTTGAATACATATTTAAATGTCTTTATTAGCCATGCATTACTTTATTAGCATTACTAATTTAATATTCCTTTTTATTTTTTGATAGTTTTGTTATTTAAGATATGACTTCTAATAAAGTTGGTTATACCGATTCTCTTAGGCGATGAAGGACGAACTGTTGAAGGAAGGATTATACAATGTCATTATCGTCAACTGGAGTGATTCCAATCAATTCCCTTACCCCCAAGCAGTGGCAAATGCTAGAGCTGTTGGCGCACAAGTAGCGAAACTTATAAAAATATTTATGGTACAATTTTACATTTCTATCCTCAAAACATATCTAGTTAGTAATTATTTGTTCTTCACAAGTCACGTAAGTTAATTTTTAAATGCAAAGAGAATAAAAAAAATTAAAAGGACTTCAGATGAACTATGTTTTTTACTATGTATGTTATGTATGAACTAATGTATGTTATGTATGAACATTTAGAACTCAAAACCTTTAAAATATTTTGTACACACATTTATGATCGTAACTACCTCATCAAAATTTAACCGATAATAATATTATATCCTATGCTATTAATTTTAACAAATACTGAATTTTATCAATTCTAAGAAAAATAAACTTAATATTAAAATTTTGAACAATAAATATGTGTGAAAGGGAAGCTGTAGAAATGTTTTAACTTTAAATAGTGGTGCTAAAATTTCGCTTCCAAAGAAATTTCAGCTTGATTGATTATTAAAGGAAAGAAGAAGTTATCCCAGCTGAAATTTTAATAATAATTCTGCTAAAATGATTATGAGGCAAAATACTTTACCGTGTCAGATTACAAAATGCTTCGTTTGCGTTTCTATAGTTCGAATATTCATTTACGTAAAGGTGAGTCTCTGTATTTTTATTTAATATTCACTAACGCATTTCTAATCTTGCTAGATTTGCTTGCGACTTTACTATGTTTTACGAAATATTGTAGGGTATCCCTTAGTTTAAATAACCAGTTTTCTTTTCTGAATTCCTCAACTTCCCCTCGCATTTTCTCGCCAGATTGCAAATTAAAGTTAAGTGAAGAAAGTGTAAAAGCAGAAGAAACTAGAAGTTTATTCAGATTCCATACTGCTACAGTTTATTAGAGTTTATTCCTTACTGCTGTTACTCTGAGTTGCTGGTATGCCTTTTTGCCATTACGCCAAGTCTATCGCCGGATAAATTGTTGAGTCAGCCTAGTTAGCCTTAAACTAAATTGTTAACCCATCACTACTAATTATCTTTGAATTTATTCCGAAATTATTCTCAAGTTCCCAGCACAAGTAGTCGGTGTTATTGTAAACGCGAAGTACGTGCATTTGTGTTCGGAGTTTGACGAATAATAAAAGGTTTGTTCTACCCTTCTTCTCTGGTGGTATTATTCACGACTCTGCGAGTAGTCGCTAGGTTTCCTAGCAAGATCACTTTAACTGTATGATAGCAAAGAAGGTGAGATCTTAAAATATGATGCCACATTTCTTCATGAAAGTTTAATCAATAAACATATTTAACAGAGATTTATCACTTTGTCTAAACATGAAAAAGTATTTTGACAGCTTTATTCAGAAAATGTATTTTAGAGGAAATTAGAATGACATGAATTATATATTCGCAAGCTTTATGCATGTATTAAAGCACACAAAATTTTTTGCAAAAGAAAATTATTTTTCATTTTGTGTAACATGAGACTTGAATTGAAAATTTCAATAGCAAACGAGACAAAAGCTCTCTTTCTGTGATCTAACTTGTTATGGAAAAAAGAATTAGTTTTTTTTTTTTTTTTTCTTTTTTAAAATTTGTGATACTATGCTGTAAGATAAATTTAGTGATTCAAAGAGAACATTTACTCTACAATCCCAATACAATATTCATTTAGAGCTTTCATTCGTATAATTGTATTATTTATTATGTATTAAATATTTAATGCCTTCATTTGTATCAAAGAAAAAGTAAAACACTGATGTTGTTTAGAACCTAAATTATCTGACCTCTTACTTACTCTGAAATACATTTAAACATCTAAAGCAAAAATTATTCTATTTCACAGTCATATTTTGAAATTTTTGATATTTATAAGATGGAATAAGGTATTTGATATGATAAAGAAGAAATAGATGCAGATTTGGACTTAAGGGGTGTTGGAAACTCCTATACCGACAATGTTAAATTGGCCATTTTCGATTTACTTTTTCTTAAACTATGCTGTAGATACAAGCTTGAAATTTTTTGTGTAATTAGAGTATACCTATCTAATTATACTGAAATGAGCTTTTGAAAGATTTTGAATTTCAGAGTAATTTACATATATTTTTTTAGGCATAGTAAAATTTAGTACTTTTCTCACACAAAAAAATTAAAACATTTTTTTCTTAGTTTACCACAAAAAGCTCATTTCAGTAACTATTACTAAACATAATAAATAAGCCATAAAAATTTTAGATACCTGTGAGCAGTAGTTCTTGAGAAAAGGTACATCGAGTAAAAAAAAAATCGCGTTTAGAGAAAAACACGTTATTTTTTATGCAAAAGTCCTCATTTATCAAAGCATTTAAGGACAAATTAAAACTAGATTTTTTGAAGTTCTAATTTTCATCGAGATTAAAAAGCGGTGTTTTTAGAAAGGTAGAAAGGTGTAGAGAATTTGAAAATGCAAAAATTCTAAATCAACATTTTTTGAAGATTTTCGCTTTCAACACGTAACTACGTTATGTAAAACGTTATGTAGAATGCTAGGAAATCTACATAACACTGTAAACGGAAGATCGCAACAGTAAATGCTTAATATCTCATTATTTTTAAAGAAATGGAAAAGCAAAATAGCAAAGTGTAAATAATTATACCAATAATGTGTATATTGTAAGGAGGTAGCATTATGATAGTTAAACGGTAATTTAATGTTATTTTTTAATTATTTTTGTTAGAATGCAAATCACAATTAAGTGCAATTTAAAATGACTATATAGACATTTTCATTGAAAGCGAAGTCATTTTCCATGACCCTCTTTTCACACTTTGCCTAAATATTACTTACCATTCTGTATAATACATTGACAAATGTAAAATAATACCGAGATCTCACACTTAATAACATAAGCTTTCTACTAAATTCAATACAAGGTTTGTTTTCACACGTTGAAGGAAGTATGCACCTTTTTAGTAAATCAAGCTGTATTATTAAAGGAACTAGAGTAATTTTTGTAATGTTACACTATAGTAACAGCACTCTTTAAGTTAGGTAGTTTTAATTGCTTTGTTCTACTAATTATTACCTGAATTTTCTCGACATTTAAGATGCTATTTCTTTTGATCTTTTGTTAGTGACAGCTAATTTTTATATTCTTCAATCAGAGTGAAAAGGGTATCAGTCCTCAAAGTGTCCATGTTATTGGACACAGTCTGGGCGGTCAAATGGCTGGTTGGGTTGGTGAAAGAGTTCCAGGATTAGGAAGAATTACAGGTAGTATGAGCTTTGAAACGTGAAATAAATGTTGTAAAATTCATTTAAGATTTCATATGTAAATTCCTTATAATATTTGTTCTAAATCAAGTAAAAGCACGAGAAAAACTTCAAATGCAAATTCCTTTCTTTGAAACATTGCTAATCGAAACGCTATACAAGACATGGGAAAATAAATACATAAAATTTGTAACTTATTGTAGCCATAATGATCATGAAATAGAACAAAGAGAATTTGATAACAGTGTTTAATTTAGTAAAATATTTACATAAATTAATTTTGCGCTTTTTAGCCTAAAGGGGCGATATCCTAGAAGGGCTATTAATCACAAAATGGTATTTTCTTGCGTTTCGCTATAAACGACTAAACCCTTTTTAAGTTGTGGCCACCAAATCTAATTTTCCTGTATTATATTAAAAAAATAAATGAATGCATGTATGTTTCTCGCGTTGCGAAAAAATGACTGTACCTAGAGTCATTAAATAACGTAATCCTCCACCGGAACATGGACACTTAAAAGCGCAAAATTTTAATTTCGAATTTGATTTATTATCTATTTCATATTTTGTAAAACTTTAACGGATTTTGGATTAACAAATTCAACGATTTCAAAGCGAGCAATGGCAACACTGTACGGAAAAACATTTTTATCTCCAGCGCGGGAAACTGTCTGCTGGAAATTCTAAAGATATGATGTTTTTAAATATTTTGTAACATTGCTGTTGAAGTGAATTTTATGGGGTTTAAGTGCAAAGAACATGATAGTTGATAAAAACGTAACACACAAAACGTTAAAGAAAGTTTCTTTGGGCGCTATATGAAATCTGAAAGCTTGCGTACTATTATTATTATTTTTTTTTAAGCTAACGCAAATTAACTGCTTTTTGTTTGAATGTTATACCTTCAAAATCAAGAACCATGTTTTTTAAAAGGGAACGGAAACATATTGAATGTTTTCAGTAGAAAATGCTTTTTCTCAATAAAAATAATAATAATCTGAAACTGAAAGATTTTAACTATCTTTTTCTTTTTAGTTATTATATGTACATTTACGATAACATGGTGAGAAAAATGTAGCATGGTTACGCAAAAAAAAAGCATGTGAACTCTGACTTACATACGTAGATATCGAAAATTAAAAAAAAAAAAAAAAAAGGGAAGAATAAACGTAAATAAGCTCGATTTATTCTGCAATGAAGATGCATAGCGTGGGCAGAAACTCATGTAAATAAACGCCTTAGCATATTGCAGAACTATAATTCTTATTCCGTTGATATACGTAACTATACAATGTTTTTGGCATAATGTTGCAATTTCCAGTGTTTAGGATATTTTTTCATAATGCTGCAGTATCCACTGTACATTCGTAAATAATCATATATGAGAGTGAAAGTAGTACAAGCAATAAACTCGAATACAAATCTCATTTGCAAATGCCTTGCATTAAAATTTAGAAACAAAACTTAACAAAGTTTAAAGTGTTAAAGTATTTAAAATTAATTAAACTCAATTAAATTTAACAAAGCAGTCACATTTTAAAATTACATCATTTATAGTAAAAATGCAATTGATAATTTTTAAGCTACTTATTGAATATATATATATTAATTAGAGATATCTAATGAAGTAATTTGTAATATCATTTAAATACAAGGTAACGTTACTTTTGTGATGAGTAATTAGTGAATGTGAGTTGCAAAGTAATTGACCAACTTATCCTGACCTAAAATCACGTAGTGGTTTAAAAAAAAAAAAAAAAAAAAAAAAAAAAAAAAAAAAAGGACCTTTCTCATTAATTTTGTTAAAAATCTTTCACATTTAGGTTATCTACGTGGTTTCTGCATTTTATTTGACATTATCAAGAATAACGGTTCGTTTGATTTAAATGAATAGAGAAGTATACCTTTTTGCCGTTGCCTCACTCAACAACTTTATTGATTTTTAATAGAATAAATTGAAATATCTATTTTTATAAATTTTTTTTTATGCAAAATGAAACCATTTGTGATTCATAGATTCAATAAATGAAAAATTATCCTTAAATAATATCTGTTTTTCAGTATATCTACACAATATAACTTAACAGTAGTTTAAGTTCCACTAAGCACAACGACGCCGCCATTTGTTTCAATTTGAAACTTAGTAGCTTTCAATAAAGAAATATTTCCTCAGTTGTCATCCAGAGATCAAGGAGAAAATTAATGATCTTTTCGTTCAAATTAAAACAAGAAGAATGGATTTCATTTTTAAATGATTAGACAAAGATTGAACTGTAACAATTTTGGTTAAAGTCATTAAGAAATATTTAATGTTTTTTCTTATAAGATTTCATGAAGTTTCAAAATAAATTTTCTTTTTATACATGTTTGTTTCCTTTAAGAGAATTTTAAAACAAAGGTTAAATTATTTTGGAACAGCATCCCCGCTAATTTTAGCCACGAGCCGCCACTGATCTAAAATCAATAAAAATTATAAAATTTTATGAAAAACTAAAAAATTATATTTCAAATGTGTCATTCAACTAAATTCAACAATAAACATGATCAAAATATTTTCTGATATGAATTAAACTTCGCTTTAAATACTGATTAAATAAAATTAAATTTTCACTCTTTTCTGCTTAGAACTTCTGCTGCCATCTGTTAGTAAACGGAAAAACTATGCCTAAAAATCAAAACATTGGGAGTGCTGCCATCTGTTAGTAAAATGGAAAACTATTTCTAAAAGTCCAAACATCGGGCTTTTGATGATACCGTTAACATGTGCGAAACTTTCAAAAGAGCTTTCCTGGAATGACTACATCCTTAAATTTGTTGATTAAAGAAAGTAAATTAACCTTACTATTATTTACTTACATACTGAAAATATGAAACTGATTTTTATCACACACACACACACATATAAAAAATAAATAAATAAATAAATAATTAAAAAAAACAGCATTAAGATTTGTCCCTATCCCGGCACATTCGTAATCGAATCACGAACCTATCCTTAAAATATTTACTGTCACAGAACAATAACCAGGATCCATTTACATCAATTTCATGGATGCCATCACTGGAATAAGAAACAGAGTCCTTTCGTTATTACATTTTAAGAGGTTTAATATGTTATATGTATCAAAATAAAAAGACGCAAGGAGCACACAGGCTCGTACAATGGTGGTACAAAGCATACTTCATTCATCCACTCCGATATACCAAGCAACACTTTTCCAATAAGAATTAAAAGTGAGTTAGTCTTAGGAAAAATTGTAAATGTGATGGTTTCATTTGGAATCACTTCATATGGAAAGTAAAATTTTACCAATACGTTCAAAAATATAAAGTATATATCTCCGTTTAATATTGTGAATGAGTGCCTTATAAAAATCATTGTGAAGAAATAAAGAATCGACTGCCCTGAAAGACAAATCAAATCGAACAGATTTAAGTTAAAAACATATTTAAAAAAAAAATAGCTTTTATTAGCAAAAAGGGCGTTAGCCCGGAAGGGCTATTAATTTTGTTTTGGCATTTTGCGTTGATTCACTTTTCAAACCGTTGCCACCAAATATTACAGCTCTGTATTATATTTAAAGAAAATAAATAATAAAGAAGCTGCATAAATGTATGTATATGTTTTTCGCATTGTGATAAAGCAACGGTGCCTAGAGCCATCCAATTTTGAAAAACGTTATTCTCCACCGAATATGGGCATCTGGAAGCCCTAATTTGGAATTTGTTTAGAATTTGTTTTAATATCGGTTTCATATTTTGTCAGACATTTAAGAACATTTTAACAAACTCAAGGATTTCAAAGCGAGCGATGGCAGAGTTGTACACAAAAAACCTTTTTCTCTCCAGCGCGTGACTCTGTGTATCGGAAGTTCTAAAGATATGCTCATTTAAAAATTATTTTGCGGTATTGCTGTTGAAATAAATTTTATGGATTAAGTGCGAAGAACATGATATTTAATAAATAAAGATAACACACAAAACGTTAAAAAAGGCCCCTTTGGGAGTAATGTAAAATCTGAAAACTTTCAGACCTTCTTTTTTTTTTTTTTTTTTTTTTTCTTTTTGGTAATAAAACATTCATTAATCGTGAATAATTATTTATTATATCCATCAGAATAGCAACAAACAAACATACGAGCATTGCCATCAACGCTACGAATCTTCGCTAGTATCGGGAGGGTATAAATTTTCATCAGTATCCGTTAGACCGGAAAAATGTAATATTACAAGTTTTGGTTACAAATGTAACATTTTGAGGAAAAATGCTTTTTAAAATATTATTTTAAAGGTATTACTATTTTGCTTAAAATGTTTCAAAAACAGAATTAAAATTCGGAACAATATTTACTAATTCTATCAAAATATTTTTGATTGAACATCAAGTAAATTGAAGTTACAATAGTTTGAAAATAATTTAGTCTACTCTCACAAAACTGATAAATAATATTTGCAGTTATTCTGTTTTAAAATGTGATTACGCACAATACTTTATTACAATTGCCTCTTTCTATTTTTTCATTTGTTAGCTACAGAATGGGTGTCATATACCCGTACATATTTACAAGATTCTTAAGTATAAAAAATATTAATTGTGTTTAATATAATTAATATTTTTTACTAGTGTTAAGTTACAAAAATTTTAATGTTAGTTTCATATAACAGGTTTGGATCCAGCAGGTCCTTATTTTCAAGAAGCTGAAAACGAGGTTCGACTAGATAGTACTGATGCTAATTTCGTCGATGTCATTCACTCAAATGCAGCCAACATTTTTATAGGCGGTAATGTTTCGATTTTATTGTGCATTAAAATTCCGACATCATGTGCTTGTAATGACCTTTATTGCTACTAAATTCTGCCATCGTCATAAAAGTGCGCCAGTCTTTAAAACCTAAAACAGTAAAAAAGTTATTTTTTCATATACTTCTAAAATATATACTGTATTGTTGTTAAGGAGTTTTAAGTGTCATTCTCATGTAGCTTTATCATCTACTTGAAGAAGCAAGAATACTTCACAGCTGATATTTACATGACCCTCGAAAAATGTAATTTGAAGTAACTTGCAATTTATTCTAACTTATAGTTTGACTTTAACTACAGAACTATCCCTCATGTAATAAAAATTAGTATATTATTATATACTATTTATATATCTGTATCTTTAAATTTCTTTTGACTTAATTTAGACTCAGTTTTATTACCATTTAAGAATTACGTAATGTACAATATTTAAGAAAACCATTAAACGCATTTCATTTTATTACATTTAAATTTAATCATGTATATATGATATCCTATTTTTGAGAATTGAATAAATATTGTGGAGTTGCCTTTTTTAGTGAAAGTTACTTGAGCTCCGATGGGCTCGGGTTTGAATCCTGTATTATTTGTTGCATGCTCCGTCTTTCGCCCTACAGAGGTAAGGGGGGATGCACCGTAGAAGAATTTTTACGGGAAACTGTTTTGTATCCACGTTACGCATGGAGGAAATCACGAAAACGGCAATGCAGCCAGCCTTTGTTCACAGGGACTCCCCGGACAGAACTACTAGTATTCAGCGGCTTTTGGTTTCGGCTTTGCCACTGGTGGGCGTTGTATTCTCGATTAAAAGCAGACATTTGTGTATGTATATTTGTGAATGTAAGTGCTTAAAATTTGTTTAAAATATCCTTTCCACAAATGGACGAGCGGTTAAGACTACTGAACATTAGTAATTCGACTCGAGTTTGAACGTTGGTGCATGTAAGTGTTTAAAATATCTTTCTCACCAATGGACGAGCGTTTAAGACTGCCATTAGTAATTCGACCCGGGTTCGAGCGTTGGCGCATTTAAAAAAGCTTTTCCATTAATGGAAGAGCCTTTAAGACTGCTGAATATTAGTACTTCAACCCAGGTTCGAACGCTGGCGCATGTGCTAAATTCATGGGTATTTGCGTGGTACCTTCCATATATAATACGTAGAAATCAGCCAGTGGAAATCCTTTAGAAAGATTTTAAAGACGGTATCATTTTCCTTGGACAAGCAGTCTTCATGTGCTTTACCATAATCAAATAACCTACATATACAGGTTGATTCAAAATTCATCAGCAATATTTGGTGGGGAGGTAGGGAAAAGAAGGAGATTTCACATAGGAATGCATGGGAGCATATGCCATGTAGTAGGCCAAAAATGACCCCAGTTGAATGATGGAAAGAACGCATAAGAAAGAAGTAGTAAGGAAAAAACATTTATTATCTTACATGCAACATTTCTTTGCATCGGTTTTACAGACTTACAAGAGGGGCTCGAACTGCTGACCATGTGCTAGAATGCATAACTCACAACGGCATTGCATGGACAACCGAACTTTCTGGAATATGCTTAGCATTTACATGCATATCTCTGCAAGTTCATTCCACGTATACCGGTTCATGTTACTTCTGCAAAGTCACCTAGTCGAATGACGACTGGCTTCACACATCAAAAAGCTGTGCTTATGTATGGAAGTTGTGTACACACAGCGCTTTCTACACCACCGTGCGTTCGTCTGCGCCCATACTTTCGTATGTGAAACCTCCTTATTTTCCTATTCCCTACCTCCCCACCAAATATTGATAATGAATTCTGAATCACTCTGTAGATAAGAAATGCTCTCTAAAAGCTTTGTGGTAAGTGAAATAAGACCCTCGGATTCTATCACTTGAGATAGTGTTGATCGAATATGGAATGGATCTATGCACATAGCCCTAAAACGCCTTGCTTTAAAATAATCCAGTTTGAATAATATGCTTGAAAATAATTCAGTCAAATTCAATTCTTTCTTTTCAAAAAGTAATAGATGAAAACATTGAATTTTTTACGCTTTTTCCTCCAACTGTGTTTCCATATTTATACTTGTATTTCCTGTGTGATACATCGTACTTTGCGAGCAAATTTATTATTTTTACGCATTGATTTAAAAATTACTCTAATGGTAGTATTGATTGTGACTATATTTAGTCACTCGAAAATTTCTAATTGTAGTTCAAATACTTGTTTACGTAATATTAAAAGTATTTGATGCAATAATTATTCACAGTGCTTAAGGTACTTATCAGCATGCTAATGACTAAGCACCAACAACAATTTTTTTTTTAAAATTCTGTAGGCTTGGGTCTTCAGACTCCAATGGGTCACATGGATTTTTATCCAAACGGTGGAAATAAACAGCCAGGGTGCAATTCAAGGGATCAAATCAGAACAGCTGATGAAATAACAAGTAAGTCACCATAACTTAAGTAAGTTTCGAGCACATTAATAAATATGCAGCAATGAAACCACTTCGGCACCTAACTATTTTGTCTAAAAATTAATCAAACTTATAAAAGTGTAAAGTTTAGGTTCCGAATGTGCTTAGTCTTCTGATTCAAAATGTTTATTATTGGAAATATAATTAGGACTCGTACACGCAATACAATTGCTCCATTATTTTCTATAAAGCTGTAGTCCCTAGCATTGCAGAAAACTAAAGGTCTTCGAAATGAGAACAGAGACTTCTTTATTAATTTGTTACCCCCAAAAAGCAAATTACAGACTGTAACACTGTATATCACTTGTGAAAGCTAACTAACATCATATAAAAAATGCAAAACAGCAAAATAAATTTATATCCAACAAATGCATATTATATGAATAGTTTTCAAAAATCTGTCTATGCACTGACCGTTGGAATTTCTATTATAAATAAAAAAAAGCTGAATTATTGATCCTTCTAAATGTGGAGGATGCTCGTAATTAGAAAATTATCAGTAGAATATGATTTCTATGAACAAAGATAGTTTACGCAGTGTTCAATTTCTCTGAGGAACAAACGTTCTTTTATTCCCTGTCATTATAATGTGATTACCAGTGCCAGTTTCCATAAGAAAATCTTTCACGAAGTTAGCCCATTCCGAGGATCTTATTCTTAAGATAGTCTAGTGTGTTTTGAATAATCGACTGAACAAAAATTAATTGGTATCTGGTTATTTTATATAATTATTCGTAATTGTCCATTAGCTGCACAGAGAAAAATTTTGTAATGCTCAAAAGCAGAGAACATGCTAAATTTCCAAATGTGGCACACTTTTTAGACGAATTTGCTTTGCTATAGAAAACAAAATCGCCTATATGAATATGAAAAAAAAAATAACTGCAGCTAAAATTTTTGAAAGTATATGTTATCATCTGCTGTTTGACAATTTGTTTTTATGCAAAATGGCGTTTTTAAAAAAGCAATGGACGAAAGGCTATGTTTGTGCTCTTTCCGAAAAAAATTATTCCTATTTAGTCCCAACTGTGATGTGAAATGCTGGATGCTGTGAAAGCCGTGATTTTTCGATATCTAAAGCTATGGCAGATAATATTGTCAGTAAGAAAGGAAACAAGTGTCAAAATTTGGCTTCAAGGAAAAACACTGTTCATAATACATATCCAAGGAAAAAAGGGAACGTTTCGAATGTCGCAAAGGTTAGAAATTTAATGTTAAAAGAAATCATCGAAGTCAAATAACAGTGTTGCATAATCCTTAAAATGCTCAGTGTCAACTGTAAACAAAGTGATTAATGCCGATTTGAATCTGAAAAAGGTGAAAAAACTAAATTTACATCGTCTTTCTCCAAGACGCATCACCGAAACCAGAACGCTCTGCCGAGTTCTCTATAAGAAACTATTGTTCGGATAAAAATGGAAAATTGTTGTCACAACTGGTGAATCTTGGGTATATTTAAATAACAGCAATACAAAGAAATCCGTTTATTATCATCATAGAGAAGAAATAAAAATGTTACAGCATGTTTCAAAGAAAATGAAGAAAGTTTTTCAAAGGGATTTATGATTCTTGTTGGTTTTTGATATAACGAAAAATAAAAATTAAAGAGACTGCAGAAAACTCTTAAGATCAACCCCACATATTATCAGAAACATATTTTATACCCAACATTTAAATATGAAATCCTTATTTCCAAATATCCGCAGTACCATCAATCAATAGAATTACATCAAGGCAAAGCAAGCAGCCGCACATCAAAATCAACTGTTAATTTTCTGAATAAAGTGGAACAAAAAACGTATATCTAGGCCATTATCCTTCATTCATATCCCTACTAAATCTCCTGATGTGTCATCCACGGATTTTTGCGCTTTTGGACTTTTAAAAAAGTCGACCTACAACCCTCCTTGGACTTTTGAAATCTGTTCAAGAAGCAAGGGATCAAATACTTCTTCCGCCACTAAAAAAGGCTTTATTGTCTTGGAAATTACAGCATAGAAAGATAGTGAAAAATAAGGGTTATCAAATGGAACATTTAAAACACAAATATTTTAGGTAAAATGTAATACAATGAAATTCGTATATATGTACGAACAGAGTCTGTAAAGCTAAATAAGTAAGACATTAAGTTTCGGCAGCTGGTCAAGGACCGATCTCTGAATCTATAGAACTGCAGTCATCACTGACTATGAGGTTCACAAATCTAGTTGCTCCTAACTCTATTGTAGAGATTTTCAAAAACTAGAATGTTACTTCCTTTATTAAATGAGCAGATTAAAACAAAGAGTATTTGTTAAATTGCGTGTAAATACCAAAATATTCATTGCTATAGTGGAAGCAGCTAGCTTTTTTTTTTTAAACTAAAATAAACAAGCTTTTGTAAATTTTATGTTGTTGCTATTTTTTCATCCTTTTTCATTTGTTGTATAATGTTTCCTTTTGAATTCAGTCACTTCTTTATTGAGAATCGCTGATCTTACTATATGTTGTCAAATGTTAAACAAATCAAAGCTAAAGTGGGATTGATATGGTGATGTTGTAACAAAATGGGAAATGGCGGAGTCGGATAGTATAGAATAGACAGAACATAGACAAATCAATGTTTCAGGATTACGAGACCAGTACAATGTAGAGGTGTCCGCCGATAACATCGCGGCAAAAACATCGCGGACGAAAACGTCGCGGAGAAAACAAGGCAAGGCGAAAACGTCGTGCTGCAAACATCGTGAGAGAAAACATCGTAGTCCTAAAACATCGTGGTACAAAACATCGTCGCCGAAAATAAAGTGGTTCAAAAACTTCGCAGTTTAAAAACATCGTCGTCGAAAATATCGTGGTAAAAAATAAAGTATCTACAAATCATCGCATGACGATAACATCGCAAACATGCTTTTTTCATACATGTTTTTCGCAAACATGCTTTTTTCATACATGTTTTTCGCAAACATGATTTAATAACTGTAAATGAATATTCCCATAATGATTTGTGAGCGCAAGATGGAAAGAAGGATAATTTTTACTTTCACATTTTTACTTCCTTAAATGGAAGTATTGTAATCGCGAAAAGTTTCAGGCAGCATATTTCAACGAAAATATACATTTTGACCGCTATCGAATGCAATTTAACTATGTTTTTGCGTGATATCTGTACGTAAGGACAGAATAAAATACTCTTTTTCTTCAAAAAAATTATAAAACTGCTTTAAAATTAATTCTGAAGAGAATTTTTCGTGGCGTCTGTACGAATGTATGTACGTACGTGCGTACGTACGTATCTCGCATAACTCAAAAACGAGTAGCCTCAGGACGTTGAAATTTTGTATATAGGACTGCTATAACATGTAGATGTGCACCTCGTATTCTGGTTGCAATCGGCCGCACAAAACGTATATAAATATATTTATATATATATCCACTCTGTTTCCCTTCTCAGTGATCTCAGTTTCTTTACTCTTATATGTTTGTAAATTGTACATTTTTTGCTTTAAAAATGATTGTATTATGTTGTTTTTATATTCCGGTTAAAGTTTTTATGCCTTTAGTAAATCTGTATGCAATATTTTTAGAATTATCAACAATTTTAAAGTTGTCTAAGTGCCGCTAAGCCTTTTTTTAATGGCGGCCGTTGATGTTTACATTTGAAACAGGAGACTAGTGGATTTGTTACCAATCTAGAGAAACTTAGCTTCGCAACAACAAAGATAACGCATTCATTTATTATTGCCATTTAAATCATGTTTAATTCTTTCTGGAATTTTTTCGAGGAAATAAGTGTTTGATATTTACTTCCTAATTTTTAATATAGATATTTTGAGTTTTTATTTATTTTTGCCTTCTCGCGAAGTGAGAACTGAATTAATTAAATGAGAAATACTCAATTGTCTGTGAAAAACTGTTTCTTTTTCGTTTTGTTTGCTTAATTTCTTTTATACATCATTCTAGCTTTATTATAGTATTTGAATAGAACATGTGGCAACGATTAGATAATTCTGTTCTTTAAATGATATAAATGTTGTGCATTATGAATTATAATATGAACGAAATATAAAAGTTAACTTTTAAATAATTATTGGATTATATAAAAGTTAACTTAGTTCCCGTTATATAATTGTTATTAAAGTTAACTGTTATATAATTATTAATACTGTTAAGTGAATCTAGCGCCAGAGTGTTGCTATGGTAAACAAATACTACAGTGAATTTTAACGAATGCATTTATTCTATTGTTGTTTATGCGCTGTCGGCGAAGTAGATTTAATTCAATCCAATAAGTTTAAATGAAATGCAAGAAAAAATGCGTATAATTTAATATTCCGTACAAGGAAGTCATGTGGTGTACACATCAGATTTTTTTATTAACTAATAAATTTTTTCTGAAAAAGTAAGAAGGAAACTTAAGCATAGAAAATTAAAGGCAACTTATAGTTTATACTTTTCATGAAAAATTACCAGTAAAAACTTCATAAAAATGATTTATTAATGGCCTTTGTTAGTTAACTATGTCGGTTTAAAATTCTATTAATTCCATAAGTTGCATTAATTTGCTATGCTTAAGTTTCCTTCTTACTTTTCAGAAAAAAATATTAGTTAATAAAAAAAATGTGAAAGTAAAAATTAACCTTCTTTCCATCTTGCGCTCACAAATCGTTATGGGAATAACCATTTACAGTTATTAAAGCATGTTTGCGAAAAGCATGTATGAAAAAAGCATGTCTGCGATGTTATCGTCATGCGATGATTTGCAGATACTTTACTTTTTACCACGATATTTTCGACAACGATGTTTTTAAATTGCGAAGTTTTTGAACCGCTTTATTTTCGACGACGACGTTTTGTACCACGATGTTTTAGGACTGCGATGTTTTCTCTTTGCGATGTTTTCTCCCACGATGTTTTGTAGCACAACGTTTTCGCCTTGCGTTGTTTTCTCCGCGACGTTTTCGTCCGCGATGTTTTCGGCTGTAAACATTGTAGATAATGCCTAGTAAAATGACTGAGGTTTGAACGATGGTAAAACACACTAGAGCTATCTGCTTAAAAGGAAGGTTGCTTTTGTGAAAGACGTATTACACGAACTTAGATCGTGTTCACATGAGAAAAATACCGAAAAAGAGGCATTAAGTTAGTCTGTTAGCTGTAATCTGAACCTGTATCAAACTACAAGTATGCAGTGATCTTATTCACTTCACGACTGAAGTGCCCTACTCTGAGGGTTCCAGAGACAATGTCGTACATTATTCGCTATCTTACTATACGTTGTCAAGTGTTAAAGTGTAAAGTGTGTCAAGTATTAAGTCTTTGGAGAATTCAAATGGAGGACTATTTATAATATTATATAATAATAAAATAACGTAAAATGTCAAATCTTTGAAGGTCAAAAGATGAATGGAGGAACAATCGGAACACATTTGCGACATAATAAAAACAAGGAATTCAATCCATTGGATTGGTATTGAAAGGCCCAGAAATCCAATACCATTATTGGAATAAAATATTTATCTGCTTGTGAAAGATTATCGCTTTTTTAATTGTATCCTATGTGTGGCTTAATATCAAAGTCTTGAGATAAAACAAACCAGTATTAAGGACAATGTGAAATCTCCAAAATAAAATGATACATTCCTCTGATACTGTGGTTATGATGATTAATATCACTTAATTTAAAAGTATGGTTTCCTATCAAATACCAGACATTAAATCGAGGATCAATGAATACTGTAGTGAAATTTATTTCTTGCTTGAACAAAATTAACAAGGTAAGTTTCAAGCAAAAGGATAGTGGAATAAAAGAGGCATAAAAATTATTTTATGAAAAAAAAAAAAAAAAATCTGTCTTTATATTTATGACTCAGGATGTAACTCATAAACCTTTAAAAATGTTAGCACAGCATTCTTTGGAGAATATTATGCTTTTTGCAAGAATATTCAATATGCAGTTTTGAAATTCTGATCCTAGAATTACAAAGAAGCGCAAAACTGCTTAAGCTGACTATGCGTTTTGAAACTGCAATTGGTCATTTTGCAACACAGTCTAATTCGAAAATGCGCATATAGTATTTGGCTTCCCTAAACCTCAACTACTGAAGGCCTACGATTAGCTAGAAATCATAAAATAATGAATTTAACTAATATTTTTATACCACATACTTTGTGTAATGTAGAATTATGATAAAGCTGTTAGAAAAATAAGGAAAAAGAAACACGTTTAAATTATATAATGCTTTGTATTTATTGTTATTTAAGTCTACGTTTCTTGTTTAGAAAATATGGATTATTTGAAATTTATTAATTATGAATTTCAATTTTTGGTCTATGTGAAAAATTAGTTCTAAATTTCTTTATGTCTTTACTGATATATATATATATATAGATAGATATTGAAGCGTATTAAGCAAAATATATGTAAGTCTCTAATAATCAGACTGGATCGAATGTAAAGTAATAAACAGACAGCGTTATTTCACACAACGTTTATTGACACCAAAGACGAACTGACACATATAAATAACTATGACATCACAGTTTCTATTGGCAATCTAAGGATATACAGTCATAAACGCCGCAGGCAGTTAAGACTGGAAAGCGAAGTCAGGAGATATTATTAGCAAGGTGGAAGCTAAGAAAAGAGTGACACAGTTTATCTCCGAGTGGTATTTATACAAAGTACATGTAGAAAGTACTCTAAGTTATGATTGGTTAATTTGAGGTTGTTATATAGTCATGGAAGTTTCTCGAATTTGGGAGAGCAGATGAACGTAGGGGGAGAGCACCAAATTTATAACGTTAATTTTGAGGTCGCCAATTATATAATTATACTTTTAAAGCAGCCATCATATTTTGTTATATCTTACATATATATATATATATATACGTGATTTTATATAAAGTTGGAGTGATAGAAAATGGTTTGGAGTCTCAAGGGATTCAGGGGAACGAAACATGTTTTCGACACTCATTAATCAACTTGGTTTTGAGGCTTCAAAACACTTTTCCCTTGACAAGTTCTGCTTGAAGCGTTAAACAAAATTTATTAAAACTTTTATTGTTTTTTTGTTTTGTTATGTACAAATTTCCTAAATTTTTTTATGAGTTTACTCCTTGCAATGATCGTTATTTGATTCCAATTTTGTAAGTTTCTTTAATTTTCATTCTACCAAATTTTAATGTAACCCGGAGAAATTAGGCTGGACCTTTAAAATTTTTAATACTGAATTTTATTCTTTTCCGTTCCAATTTTTATTTTTTATTTTTTTCATTTATCAATATATACGTACTGCTAGACAACTGCTAAGGACGAACAACTCTATCACTAAAAAGAGACACAAAATAGAAAAAAGTAAAATGGGGGAAATACGTGCGGGATACAGAAAATAGAGGTATATATATGCAAATTTTCATTTCCTTACCAGTTCATTAAGCGATAAATCTGATAAACGATTTAAAGGATGTGATGTATGCGAACAATTGTGGTATGTAGTGAAAGTTTTACTAGAGAAATTGAATTGGCGATCTTGAATGTTTCTCTACATCTTCCCTGCATCACTTCGATGATTTTATGCTTACACTGGAAAGATCGAAGAAGGGAAAAAAAAAAAAAAAAAAAAAAAAAAAAAAACAGATATTGACAGGGCGCCTAACATCGCCCACAGACCACAGAGTTATTTCACTGATGTGGAAATCATTTAAAACAATTAGATTGGTGAAGCCAATGTCACGGGAGAGATTGTGTTAGATATACTACTTCTACAAGAAACAAGAACATTGTCCTATTGGGATAAAGAAATCGGAGCCACCACAGTTCGGCAGGATGTGAATGAGTTCTTGTTGCCACAGGATAGCGAATTTCCCAAAAATCTATAACTTGACGTTTAGGAAAATGAGACCTGTATGCCGGCAGACCTATTGTGTGTGCCCTTTTATCCAGAAAACTAAGCACCGCCCGTGTGCAATTGTTTCGAGATCTTGGCAATGGATTGAACAGGACTGGGTTTGCATACTGTTCTCAGATGAAAGCAGTTTCAGTTTGCTATCGGATTGTAGACGCTAACTGCTCTTGTGTGAGAATGGAACTGCTTATCATCCAGAAAAGGGATACATCCGAGATGCAGTATCATGGTGTGAGCCGGCATCATGATGAATGACTGCACGTTTCTAAATGTGGTTGCAACTGAGATCATAAGCGGTCAGTGATAAATTGATGACGTTCTACAGTCTCCTGTTCGCCTTTTCCGTGATGCTTTCAGTGATAATATTTTTCCATGGACGACAGTACACCAAGTTATCGAACACTCTCTAATCCCATTTGTCTAGACAGCGAGAATATTCAACACCTCATATGGCCAGCACGTTCTTCAGATCTAAATTCCATTGAAAATGTTTGGCGGAGGGACTTGTTCCCCGAAAATGTCCCCCAACGAATAAGAAGACCTTCATTCATGCACTGATAAAGGAGTGGGATCAAATGTCTCAACAGCTGCTGGATAAGGTTGCGCAAAGCATGATACGACGTGAGGAAAGTTGCATCTTTCTCCACGGTGGACATATTGCGTACTAACACCATTCTCAAAGATGCCTGGTATCATTTATATGCATTATTCCATTTCACCGTACACGGCATCAAAAGAACACTTTTTTCTTTTAGATATTTCAAAGCTTTCCGTAGTTTTCTGAACAATATATATTCTTTCTCCACTATCTGAAAAATGTGGCAACAATACTTTATCCTACTTAGCCTCCACCTCCGAGCAATTTTATGCTACACTGCACTTTAAGATCCGTGTTTAGCAACTATCCATCATTGTATATATGAATATTTATAATATTTGGTATCAAATCAAAACGAGTTTTCGAACAAATTTGCCCATATGGCAGCAAATCACACATTAAACTAATATACATTTAGATTTCATATATTTATGGCAAATTCAATTTTTTTAGATGTTTCCTACATTTAAACTTTCGCAGCCTATTTGGAAGATTTTAAACATCAGAAATCTACAAAACATAATATAGTTTATCTAATCAGGAAATATTCAGTCTGTGGAAGAGGTGAAGCGTTGGTATTTAAACCCGTTTATTCAAAGGTCAGCTCTAGAGTCACAATTTTGCATTCAAACACTATGATAGTTGAATTTTTAAGTTCATCTCAGTTTAAATATTTATACATAAATAATTCTTTAAATGTTACTTAATATTTTAAATAAATATTTCTAGGTTAGTCACATAATTTGGAATGATGTAGGTGTGTTTAAATTTTATAATTATATATGATTTTATAATTACTTTTAAATATAGGTTTCGATCAATTAATTGCTAACTCTTGTGACCATGGAAGAGCCAATGCCTATTTTCTGAATTCTATCAACAATTGTCGATTTATTGCAGTACAGTGCAGCAGTTACGAGAGCTTTGAAAATGGTAACTGTACAAAAGAGACTTCTGTAGTCGCTGAAATGGGATTTCATGCGCAAAAACTTCCAAGTCTGAATGAGCAAACAAAGTTTTTCCTCAAGACAACAGATGCATCTCCTTTCTGTATTGAAGACTGAAACCTAACTCTCTGAAACTTATACAACTGTCTAGATGTATGGTACGCATCTAAACAGTTATTCATGCTGCACATCTAAACAGAGCATCATTGAAAAATATGAAGGGGAACTGTTATCATAACCGATTTGAAAGTACTAATTCTAAATGAAGTTTTATATTTAAAAAATGTGCAATGAGTAATTAGTAACAAACCTTTCCATTTACTAAAAGAATTTTAAATACCATTTCTTTTATAGTTTAGTAATCATTCTTTTATTTAATGCTAAAAAGAGCTCCTCTTTTCAATTAATTTGAGCTGAATTTAGTAATTACTTATCATTGTAAAACCAAAACCATTAAATGTAACCTCAAATTAATTTAATTCATACTTTTTAACTTTCAGCTATATGGCATGTTTTATGTAAGCATTGAAATATATCAAACACAGTGATTTACCTTCAGTACTTGCATAACAGAAAATTAAATTATTAAAGCTTCCAAATTCTGCATTGTTTGTACGCGAATAAAAGAATGATTACTATGCAATAATGTGTTGTTAATTCTTAAATAAATTTTTATCTGTTTTATTCATTTTAACAAACTAATTCAGTAAGTTTTATTCCATTAATTATCTGATTTACTAAACCCAAAATTTTAAGTTTCCACAAATTTGAAATGAAATGTTTTATCCTAAGTTCAGATTTCAGGTGTAAAGGGGTTGCTAGATGCAACAACATTTTTTAATTTCAAAGTATTTTTTAACTTAAATTCTCGTTATTTAAAATGACGCATTAATTTTTTACAGTTAAATTTTCTTGATTCTTAATATATTTTGCCCTAACGAATGCAATGATAACTTTTTTCTTTACTAATGTTATAAAATACTTCTGAGCTTGAAAATCTACAAAGTAAATGCAAATATCTTAGAAGTAAATTCAGTTATTCATGTGTAAATGTTATGATGGATTTATTATATATTGTAATTAATTACCTTACTTTTATTTGTTAAAATAAAAATCATTTGTCACAATTATTCCTGTCATTCATTTTTATAAATTTCTTTGTGTTTTGTTGTATCGTAAATCTATAAACCGATAACGCACTTGCGAGAAGGGGACAAAAATGCACACTAACAATACAGCCGTACGCAGAAATTGAATTCGCAACTTAGATTTTAGAACAGCAGTCAACCTCTGCTAATCACTATACCGTCTAGAATGACAATTTAACAGAAGTAGAAATTCATAAGTATATTTCACTAAAAAGTATTTTGGATCTGCAATATTATTCTTTATTAGAAAAATCTAAAATATGTATATTGTAAAAAAGATATAAAACAAGTTTAAAATGCTTTAACTAATATGCAATGCTAATGCCTTGTTTTGTCTGATATCTGATGCTGGTTTTATTACATATAGCTCTTATTATTTCACTTTGAAATTTGTGTAATCAATTTGTCAAGTTTTTCCTGTCATTTATTTTTATTAATTAAGTATTTGTTATGCAATATAAGAGCACAGAATTCATAATTTTAAGTGTGTGGTAGGTGTGTTTTTGTTTCAAAATGCGGTCATTTTCGTTTCAAATGTTCACTGTGATTTGACACTTAAGCTAAATTTCAGCACTAGCATATAATGTACATTAAACAAAAGAATTAATTTAGAAAACTGATTTGTTGCAGTTAAATTGAGTTTTAAACTATATTTTTTTCTGTTATCCATATAAAACAATAGAATTATCAATGTGACAGTGTTAAGAATTGTTCGTTATGTTTTCAAAAGTATTTTAACGCAATCCTACTCACCACCCGCTGGAATAAAATAGAAAGCCTCGGTTAGAATTAAACTAAAAAGTTCAAAAATAACTTATTAAGGAGTCAGTCCAAAAAATTACCGAACAAGAATAAATATTTTATTATACGCAGTACGGTTCAGAATCTGTAGTGTTTAGATAAAAATTGAGAGAACGTTTTGGATTGGCATATCTAGAGAAATGCTCAAGATGTAATCCCATCGGCAAGGAAAAGGCACCATCTGAACATGTTCCACATTTTCCAGAATTAAAACTATCCCAACTATCACATAAAACTCCCATTAGCTCACAGTGGCCAGTAATACTTGATTTGAAGAGTTCAATGGCCCGACGGTGATTGCATTGTAGGTCACTTAGCCCAACTTCATCTGTAAAAGAAAGTTTGATTATATAAACAGACTTATCAACGCTTATTTGTCTAGCTGCAGTATAAAACATATGACATTGAAGTCAGTTATGATATAAAAAATTTTGACAAGCATGCATCAATTTGTTCTAAAATGTGTCATCTCACAAGTAAATTTTCTCTCCTTTGATACGGCCCACCCGCTGCCGAGCGGTAAAGTCTCTGAACACTGGTAGTTCGGTCCGAGGTTCGAATCCCGCGAACGGGCTGGATGCATGGGTGTTTTCGTGGTTTTCTCCCTGTGTAACGTGTATACGAGCCAGTTTCCCTTAGAAAGTCCTCCACGAAGGCATCCCTCCCTTTAGGCAGATAGCCCTAGTGTGCTTTGCCATAATTAAATACACACACATACACTCTCCTTTGATACCGGTTTTCCGGAAACCCATATATTTTCTGAAAGCTTATATCACAAGTAGAAAAACTGTGAAGTCTTAGGGGCAGAGGGACAAGCGTTTAGGAGCCACAAAGTATTATTGAAGTCTGTATGAATGGACATATTAACGTAATGGCTTTTCTAATCTTATATATTCATGCAATGTCTGCTTCCGAAGTACCTGAAAGTAAAGGCCTATAAAAAGAACTGGTACCTGAAAGATTTACGGGAAAGATCGAGCCTCTAGATCAGGGGTCGGCAACCTGTTTGTCCTTAAGGGCGCAATACTAAATTTGAAAATCACCGAGGGCGCATATTTTACAGATAATCAACAGGTATAAATAGGCATTAAAAAAACAGATTTTTTATAACTTTATTTTGTTGGTGTCATACATAATGATACATACAGTGGATGGACAAAAATATGGAAACACCTTGTGAAATGCATGTTTGAAAAGAAAGATTGATTTTAATGAAATATGTAGGTGGCGCTGGCGTTTTTGACTACTGACGCCACCTATACAACTTCGTAAATGTGCTAAACAGTTCAGTTGTTGTCGGGAGTACTGTTATGTGAGGTTGTCATTGCATTATGTCAGAGTTAACAGACTTCGAACGTGGGCAAATTGTTGTTGGAGCACGTATGGTAGGTGCTTCCGTAAGCAAGGTAGCCGAGGTGTTTAGTGTTTCAAGAGGTACTGTATCGAAGATTTATTCCGCATATTTGAAAAAGCGGAAAAAACATCATCTGCTAAATCACAGCGCGGACGAAATTGTGTCCTGAGTGATCGTGACAGACGATCATTAAGGGCAATTGTGACGAAAAATAAGAAGACCACAGCTGCAAAAGTTACTGCTGAAATGAATGTTGTGTTACCGAACCCTGTGAGTACCAAAACAATTAGAAGGGAGCTTCATAAACAGGGAAATTGCTGGCCGTGCTGCAATTGAGAAGCCACTCATCAGTGATGCTAATGCCCGTAACAGGAAAAGGTGGGTGTTTAAGTCATAAAGCCTGGACTATAGAGCAGTGGAAGCGAGTAATATGGTCTGACGAGTTCTCTTTCACATTGATTCCCACTTCTGGCCGAGTTTATGTCTGAGAAACGCCATCTCAAGCCTATAATACAGACTGCTTGTTGCCAAGAGTGAAACATGGGCGGGGGTTCTGTTATGGTTTGGGCAGCCATATCGTCGTGGTTCTCTGTTAGCCCCATGATAACTGTGTCAGGGCACATGACTGCCAAGACTTATGTGAACATTTTGGCCGATCAAGTTCATCCCATGGTACAAACTTTGTTGCCCGATGGTGATGGTGTCTTCCAAGACGACAAAGCCCTTGTTCACACAGCTCACATTGTCCAGGACTGGTTTTCTGAGCACGACGATGAGTTGTCCCATCTCCCCTGGCCACCACAGTCACCAGACCTGAATATTATCGAACCTTTGTGGTCTACATTGAAACGGAAAGTGCGTTCTCGTTATCCACCGCCAACATCGTTATCTGAACTTGCCACCGTTTTGCAGGAAGAATGGTATAATATTCCCTTGGCAAACATACAGGAACTGTATTTATCCATTCCGAGAAGACTACAAGCTGTTTTGGATGCCAACGGGTTTCCTACACCATATTAAGCAAAGAAAAATGTTTTTTTTTAAAGGTGTTTCCATATTTTTGTCCAACCCCTGTATAATTCAGTGTGAAACTTGGGTGTCCATATTTTCAGCTAATTTCTTATAATTGGGGATATATTTAGAGTTCCCGGTCTTTAAACAATTATCTAAATGTGAGTCATTAAGCTTTCAATTATCTAAATGTGAGTCATTCGGTATTTTGATTTCAAATATTTCATAATTGAGAACAAAGACTCGCAATTGTATGTTGTTGCACAATATGAATAAATTTTTAGCGCACATTTCCTTAAAATAGGATACTTAATTTCATCGACTAAGTTCCAAAACATTTTATTATTACTATGCGCTTTTAAAATAATATCACTTTGGAAGTTTATTATTTCTAATTCTAGGTCTTCGATATTATGAAGCTCGAAATACACTGAAACTATTTCAAAGACATCATCTTCAGTAACATTGAATGGATTAGTGAAAAATCTTAGAACGGGTTCTAATGCTGCAAAATCTTCAAATCTAGAAGAAAACTCTTCTATTAGATTATCTATTATTTCTAAATATGATATAGCAGTAAAATTTTCATTATTCAAATTTAAACTCTCAACAGTATATTTTATATTTGGGAAATGGGATAATGATTTTTTCAATAGATGGGATTTCAACAACACTAACTTGCATTTGAATGCATTTACTGCACTAATCATGTCAGCAATATGCTGATTTTTACCTTGTATTTTAAAATTTAATTCATTCAACTTTGCCGTTATATCTGTCAGAAATCCGAGGTCGATTAGCCAATCCTTATTTTCTAATTGCTCGTAAAATTCGCCTCTTGATGCAATATATTCCTTTATTTGTGGCAAAAGCATGATAAACCGCTCAAGTATTTTACCTCCGCTCAGCCACCTCACTTCAGTATGTAAAAGAAGATCTGTGAACGGAACGTCCTCATCTTCTAAAAGTAATTTAAACAATCTGTGTTGCATAGCTCCCGATCTTATGGAATTAATAATTTTTGTTACTATCGTTGTAAGGATCTTAAGTTTTACTAACGTTTATTTTATTTTAAATCTTTACTATCACTTCTTATTTTCTACTTGCGGCCAGAATTAAAAGCTTTAACTTATTTATGCAAATTTGTCTTGCGAACGCCAAGTACTTAAGTTGTGGCTTTTTGCCAAGCAAGAGAGAGGAAGAGTGATTAGGAGCAGGCCGATTGCCATAGCAGTTTACTCGGTGCTTGCCTTCAAAGCCAGAGGTTTAATCCTCTTGATAATTTTAAACGTATCGTAGTGTTAACAGTTCTCTGTACTACATACGGCCTTTCTGTAATATACGGCCAATCTTCAAGTAGACACTTGTTTATTATCCAAGTAGTTTAGTTAGAATTTAGTTAATATTTTTATATCTTACGTTCAGACCTCAAGTGGTTGGTCTCTGTATTCCGAGTCAGGAAATCTTATTATCGTAATTAAGTGTTGAAACCGATTGTTTTGTGCATAACATCCTGATGTATGAGGCAATGATAAGAAATAAATTTCGGGAATAAGGAATCATGTCTACATAAGGCAATAAATCCTTTTTTCTACCAGTCATCGTGGTGCCCCCGTCTGTTGTAATTGAGATACTTTTGTACAGGTAATTTTACATCTGTTATATACTTTTTAACGTAGAAAAGATATCTTCTCCTCTGGTGCTTCCCTTTAATGGCAGAACTTTAAGGAACTCTTCTTTGTTGTAAAACAGAAAATACCTTTTACGAATTGCTAATTGTGATATATTTGTCCGTCTGCCGATCTGTAGCGAAAAGAAAATACAATTTTCCATATCATTTGCTAATTCTGCCTCCAAATTCTCCGCAATTACTCCAATTCTTCTACTAACATTTCGTGCTGATAACTGCAACGTGTTTATAGCCGAAACTATTTCCTTTTTATTTTTAATTCTTCAAAAAATGAATCAGCAGCTTCTGACGTGGCTTCTTTCACTAATTCTCCATCTATAAATGGTTTTTTTATTCTTAGCTAGCAAATGCGATATTTTATATGATGCAATCGTTGCTGCTTAAAGTTGTTGCAGTGGTTTAGTAAAAAAACTTTGCTGGTTAGTTACTGAAGATTTTAAAGAAATAATTTTTTTTTCTTCTAATTTCAGAGTTAATTGGATAGTCACTATCAAAATTGGTATGAACAATCTTAAAATGACGCTCAATATTACTTTTCTTGGCAATCGCAAGACTATTATTACACAACAAACAAATACACTTCCCTTTGTAATCAACGAAACAACACAGATGTTCCAATTCATCATTAAAATAATATGTTCTTTTTCTTTTACATTTATGAAAAGTTTTGAAAGAAAAGAATTATTTCGGATTACTTGGTAGTTTTAAATGCACGGTCTACGCATGGTCTATTCGAAATACGATCACACACTAACAAAAAAATACGTGCGTGTTTTTAGATACGCTCAAGGTGAGCAAGACTGCTAATCTATGCACAATCCTAAACTCAACTGACTACTGTCTCACCACGCTAGCGAGAGCAGTTTGGCTGAGGACCAAGATAGGAAAGGTCTCAGTTTAATTGAAGGGGTGGGTGGGCGAAAAGCGCGGGTATTTTTCCCTCTCGAAGGTCCGAAGCGGTGTGGGTGAAATCGAAGGTCAGGGGACATTTAGTGTCCACCGGGCTACTGCACTCACCCCTACATAACTGATAGATGTGCCCACTTCCGCCCCAAACCGGATGTTTACATAGATCTGGAATACATGGTCAGACAGTACTTGCTGTATATCGCCGTTTGACAAGAGTAAGTAAATCGCTCTGCCTATCATACATTTACATTAGTCCAGCAAGGGCGCATTAAAAATCGATCGGGTGCGCCATGGCGCCCGCGGGCACCGTGTTGCCTACCCCTGCTCTAGATATTCATTTTTTTTTTTACACAACAAATCTTTT